TACGTATATAAATTCCGAAAGCGGGCAGCGCGTATGGGGGCGCGTTAAACGGCGAGACCCTTTTGTACGGCCCTGTATGGGAGAATAATGGTCGAACCGTGTCTCAATCGTGCTTTATGGGATGTAATTGCGGTCAGGAAAGGGGCCCCGACGATGTTAAGCTTGGGCCAGCTCGTGTGCGTCGCTTCGCCGAGAAAAAGGGAGAGAGACGGATAGAAAGAGGGAGCGAGAGAGGGAACAAGGCGATGTAGAAGCGTTACGGTTTTAACCTTCGCGAAGAACCACCAAACGAGTTTTTGCGAGCGACGACGCGCGTCGACGAGCGTCGCAGAGAAATTTCTATCGAGTCCAAATTCACTTTGAGAAGCATTTCGCGACTTCGCTCTTGCGAACCGAAGCGTACGGACCGCCGAACGATCAAAGGTCCTCGGCACCATTTACACTCGAAACTCATCGCTTTCACGTTATCGGGACCGTGACCGCTCGCCACTTTTACGGGAACCGTATTCGCTTATCTTGAAATGCGATTCGTTCCGTGAAAATCGATTTTATCCCTTCTTAAGTAGATATCGTGTATTTTCGCGTGCAGATGCCATTTTATTTATTTATTTATTCATTAAATTCGTACGGGAAGTTATCCATTAGATATATTAGAATTAATTAGATGAAATAAAAAATAAGATAACCACAATTCCTTAAGTTAACATGATAAATCTATCGGACTATAATAACGTTGCGAAATTATATCAGGTAAAATCGTAGATTCTGTTTGAAAGAGTGCTGCGGATAATTGATAAAATCGGTGTATGGGTGTACACTGTTCACATGAAAGAAAACGCGATCGAATTTATCATACGTGGTATATTATTGGTCGGCATCTAAAAAAAGGTAAGGGTTAGTAGGTCGTCCTTTCGTAAACTAGCCGGACGGAATTTCGTAAAAGCCATGGGCATATAAAAATGATAGGCTTCGAGTGTAGATCCTTGGTCATCAATCTCCCTAGTCACATCAGTGAAGTCACTTCGTCTTCATGAATAATTCGTTGATGGATTTTTAAGCACTAGTCCAATGATTAAGACATTAACCCCGACCAAAATCAATCAAAAGAATTCCTACAAAATCTTAGTAATTTGATTAATGAAACCGAAACCGAGCACTTCGATTCCGTTGCGTCCTAGACATCTCAGTAAAATTCAGTTCGTTCGAATACGTTACAGCATAAATGAAGTTTGGAAATTAGTCAATAATTGGCCGCGTCGCTCCACGTGTTAATACGTTCTTCCAAAAGCAGACTTTTCTGCAATAATAAAATGTCCAGAAACCGGAGCTAAACAGATACCACTATCCTTTGCAAATGGTTCGAAGCAGCTAATCATCCTGCTGCTTTGATCTGCCACTCATTTTAGCAGGCTAGTAGCAACGAGGGTGAACGACCGCGTGTCAGGGCCCGACGCAAATTGCTAGAGCAAGCTCGCGAATTCGGTCAATTAGGGAGTTCCGCGAACGTCGGGGGGCCGAGAAGCGGAAACGGGCGACCGGAGCGGGGTCGCCGGGGGTCGGGGAAGTTTGGACGAAAACGTCCTCGTAAACGAACCGGTCGCCACCGCGAAACGAGGAAGAGAAAGAAGCTTGTCGACGACGCGCGGGGCCCGTTACGAAACGGCCCACGGCCGTAAACCGAGGATCTCGATGTTCCCCGAGATTACGAAATCCCGGAATTCATAAAACGCGGGGGATCGAGGACGTAACAGCCGCGTTCGACGCGTTGATCCGCGGATTCCTGGGACGAGCGGGGTCCGGCGGGGTCCGACGGGCCGCGTCGAGATCGTCCAACGACCACTGAGCCTCGGCGAGAGGAGAGGCGAGGGCGAGCAGTGCACAAAGGCGAGTGGAATCACCCGTGGCCGAACCAACATCGGCGTTAAAGAGGAAATACGAGCCATAAACCTTCGATGTATGCGCCGGGCTCGAACAGCGAGAGAAAGAGAGAGAGAGAGACGGTCGTCCGGAATACGAAATCAAATTGCCAGGCCGGTCAAAAAAAAAGAGAATAAAAAATGACCGCGTCGAAGGATGTTCAACGGCAGCCGGACACTCGCAACGGAGTCTTGCGACGCGAACGATGAATCGATTCGCCGGCCGAGTCGATAATCTGTCGAGCGTCGCCGGTGGTTCCGGGGAATGCTCGTCGGGATCGAGATTGGATGCGCCGGTGTCCAGCTCCCGACGCCAGGGACACATCGATATCCGTCATAACCGACGAATACGTGAGCGAACGCGAACTATCGTCTCATCGGCCTCGTAGACGTAACACCGTGGACAAATATTTACCACGAAACGACGTTTTCGGGATTTCTTCTTATCTGTCTCGCGGATCGTGGGATTCCTCGCTGGAAATTAAGCTGCGTCGATAAGATTGAGCAGTCTCGTCGGAAACAAACGGTTTCGCTCGTAAATCTTCTCAGCGCGTCGACTATCGCCGTGACTCGTATATCACTCGTGCAATCATTTACCCAGATTTCAAGATTGATCATCCCGTTAATACACCGAATCTACCATATTTGGACGGATTAATTACTAGCTAGGACTCCCGGCCCAGTAAACGAATCAACGCGATTCCATTTTTACGCTACCGTTATCTTACACGATGATTGGAGCGTCCCTCGTGAACGAAACTGCGGGTGAATTAATCAACTTTTAATTGGGAAGATGTACAGCGAAGCCTGCGGTCCGGTAATCACCGGCCATTATGCAGATCGGGCTGTTATTTGACAGACATCCGACACGGTTTATGCTTCGCTGATAACGTCGTGTTTCAGGTGACATACGTTTGAATAACACGAGCGCTGTGTGCTTCGAATCAGCGTGTATACCGATACCGGCTACCGAGCCGGTCGACTGTGTGCGAAATCACTGCCGAATCTAGGAATAAATTTGCAGAGTGTCGTAAAGCGATCGACGTACTGTATGTGTCGCTGGTCTAGGGATGATTTACGCGGGACGCGTGAAACCGCATCGATACCTCGATGATGCACAAATCCTCTTCGTGTAATATAAGCATTTCCAGCATTAATTTCAAAACGTCAGAGTCGAACAGAGATTCATTTCTTCTCTTGATAATTTTGATTAACACTAACTTTACTGATCCGGTCAAAATGATCTGTTTCAAATTTGTTATTTTAAAATGATTAAAGTTACATAGACTCTTTACGTAGGAAATAACTGAATCAATATCTTAGTACAAGTACACTTCAAATTGTAGTACCTTGATTCAAGTTTTAAAAAAATGGTGGGAAGATTGAATACATTCAGACTTGTCATTCTTATGAAGCAAGACGCCTTTATCACTTTTAGTACTCGGTAGATTCGGTGTTAAGTTCAGAAAATTACGACATCTTTGGATGAGTCTACCGTGTTCAGTGTTTTACGTAAATAAATTTTATCTAAGTTCTTTAGAAAGATGAACAAACATTAAAGTTGATTTTCTCGAAAACGGGAGTTTCGGATAAAAAAATGTTATAGCAAATTCTTGCCTTATTTTTTCACGTAGAATCATCCGGTTTTACTACGAATTCCGGCCCACTCTGTATATACATTACTTGATTACAATCACCGCTTGTGCACCAAAGCTTGACTGCGTGAAAAAGAAATGATTAGCAACTAGTCGGAGTCGATATAAAAATGTAAATTTATGCATAATTAATAACGACCGTGATCAAATCTACAAATTGATCAACATGTCTTGCAAGAAACAACGCCAATAATCACTGGAATGCAAATTTTATGCATTTATCAGACAAATGTGTGTTTTGAATGGAAAACAGCAAAGACGTTACTGACAACTTATTAAAATGATTAAGAAAAGAAATAAATGTACATGCGGTTCTTGCATCTTGCAGTTAATGAAGACAATTTTTCTTTTGCGTAAAGATCCGCAATCTAATAATCACCCAAGGCGCAGTGATGCGACATTCATCTTTGGCATACAGAACAATAAAATCTCGTTCGAATATGGCCACGAGATAGAACACATGAAAAGATATCTTCAGTTTACAGGGTAGCTATTGTAATGCAGAGGTGACGCGTGTCCATTTACGTGGATCGCAGGGCGAATTACTCGGCCGCGAATGCAAATCGTGGGTCGCACTCGCATCCATTTCCCTAATCCCGGTCTGCGGGTGACGTGTTCATGCATTTATGCATTTTTTCCGCGGCATCAGCAACCTTCTTCGAGCCTCCGCGACGCGTCGGCCGTGATCGGTAGACTTTTCTAACTCGATCGAGTCCGATTCGCCGACCAAATTGGGCGCAGAGGACGAGGGTGCGGGACGAGGGACCGGAGACGAGAAAAAAAGGAAGACGCTGTGTCGAGGGCCGACTTTCACTCCAAAGACGTAGGTTACGATCCTGCGCGCGTCACCGTCGCGTTTCTTGATATTCGGGGGACGAAGAGGAGAGAGAGGAGAGACAAAATTGTGCAATTCCTCCATTGAGTAACCGCCGCGCCGCGAGATAAATTGCCTGAGGTTATTCCGGCCTGGCCAAATTTCGCGGGCCCGATCTTTCGATCTCACTGCTCTCTGGTCAGTGGATCACCGTGGAAAGGAAAGGGGACGTCGAGAATAATAACGTCTTTCTCGGGCTGCTTTTTCGACCGTTCCGCTTCTGCTCGATTAAGATGGGCACCATTCTGAGGCGTTAAGAAATTGGTAAAGTTTCGACACTTTTTATAGGTAATTACTAGAGTGCGGATTTTTATGCAAAATAAGAATTGTCTTTCTTGATTACAAGATGTAGAAAACTGCGTAGACATTTATTTATTTTCTTAATTATTCTAATGGGTGGTCGGTCATATTATAATATTTGCAAATAGTGTAAATGTTTTTGCTATTTTGCATTAGATCTATTCATTTTTGTCATAAATAAGTGAAATTCGTAGTCTAGTAATTACTGAGTAAGAGATTTAGTTTTTCTAAGAGAATATAAATGTAAGTTCCAGCTTCGGTTTTCAATTTTTTATACGTAGAAACCATTCAAAATGACATTATTCGGTATTATTGTTATACAAGTTATTCGTTGTCTCCGAAATCCCTTCTCGTAGAACATTGATTGCTGGCTGTCACAATTGGCAAGACTCAGGACATCTGAAAAAAATAAATTGTGTTAATTCATGGACTACGATCTATTATCTAAAATGTAGCGTCCGGGTTTCCGAAAATTTTAATAATCGATAGAAATGGCCGCAGCTTGAAGAACAAACTGTTTTAGTTCCAGAAATCAACTTTAAATATTTATAAAAAATTAAATAATTGACATATCAAAAAGATCGTATGCTACGCTATAACGTACCTCCATAAAATTTGAAGCGAATCAGATATAATAGTTCCGGAAATTTCGTGACGGCTTGAAAACTGTAGTTTCGAGCAAAGCGTGAAAGAAGTTTTAAGGTAACTTTTCTCTCTGGTAAAGTAAGATTTTAGAAACTTTACTTTCCGTCGCTAAATGTTGAAATTTCGAAATATCGTTTCGACACAACATTCTACACACTTGAAACTTTAAGAAAATCAAAAAGAAAAGACCGATTCTTTTGAACCGTTAAGGGCAGTGTTTCACCTCAATCGACGAAATTCTGTGTTGCCGTCGGTGATTATGCGACTTCTTGAGACTATACGAAGCAATTACCGCGTCGCTAATTGGAGTAGGAGCGTCGCTTTTGGCAGACCCGGCCAGTTTTGCTCGACCGGTAATTGCGATTACGTACAATTCCAACCGATTTTCTACGGGGACTCGCATTTCCATACGCTTTCTCACTGCCACTCCGAAGCCGCAAAGTTGCAAGAAATTGCTTCTTCCAATATCGTTTCTTGTCTGTTTTTGAAAAACTGAAATTACGTTAGTTGGAGGGAGTCCTCAGCCATTTTTATTTCATTTTTCTCGCTAGAATTATCCATGTTGTATATTACCATGCCGGCATCATGGCTGCCCTATGGTTTTCTACGTTAATAGGGGGAAAATGTTCGATATTGTGTTCGCGAGCAAGGTCTCAAATGATCCAATTTCCTGCCCCTCGATCATTGAATTATTCTCATTAAATGTAACTATCAGACAAATGCGTAATTTCTCCCTGTTACGTGCTGAATAACACCAGACAAATTATGGGTATTTCAATTGTATCAATCGTATGATTGATAATATTGCTCAGCTAATCAATTGTCCATTACGAATAACTATCGTCCTCCACGTGAACTTTCATTTATATCCCCTCTCCCTTATTTATCGTGAATGAATTCATTATTATTCGATAAAAATAAAACGTATGTTGCAGTCGATATTTACGAACTACAGTTATTATTTCTAACTTATATATATTATATATATTATATATAACTATTACAGTTCTACGTACCATCGACATTTTCGACAGAATCACAGCTGAATTTTCGCAGGTTTCGAGTAACAGTTGTTAGGCGTCCGCAAAAATGTCGTCTGCGGTTTCATAGTTTAGAATCCTCTCTGCGGGACAGTGATCTCCATTTTTTTCCAATCAGAAATATTTCCACGGCTCGAACTAATTCTTCATTCGTCCTAGATCATCCGTCATCGAAGAGTTAACGTCGGATTCCATTTTTTTCTCTTTTCGCCGACGGGACGGGTGACAAGCGGAGCTGGAAAGAATGGAAAAACAGCGCGGGCGCACGGCCGATCCGTGCGCCGGGATTTAGGGGAATCCGATTGGTGGATTTAGGGCGATTTATTAGCCTCGACGCACGGTGGCTGCGGTGCCGCGCATATTGATTCGAAGTGCTTCGGTTTACCTCCTAATTAGTCGGAACGTGTCCCGACTCCGGCGTATCCTCCTATAACGCGTTTGCTTTTCAATGAAGCTCGCGCGATCCCGTCCTGCTGAATCTATTCGCGTAGACCGGTGCAAGTGCACTTCCGGCGCGGAAGTTACGTTCCTCGAATTGCGGCCGTGTAACGAGTTTACTGGGACACGGTGATCTTCGCTGAGGAATTAGCCACCGACGACACTCCCGATCTTTGTAAGTGAAGTTCATCGGTGCGTTCAACATTTTTTTAAAGTATCGGATCTCTTTGAAAGTGTGCTATACGAAACAGACGTTCGGAGATCTTCTCGAAGTTTTTGTTCTGGAAAACATTGTTAGGTTACGTTCACTTATCAGTGAAAGATCTGTAAACTCCTTGCACTACGATTTCTTTGATAGCTGCCTTGAATATCACTTCTTCGTTCTTAACCCCTTGCCGTATTTTAACGAGTCTGACACAGAATGGAGATTAGAGTAGTAACTTGTCAAATGTGATTTACGGTCGATTCTGAACTTTCGTTCCCTCCTCGCCAATGTTTAAGCATTTAAATAAATGTAGGCACTTTCTTTTCTGCCAAGAAATTTTTATGATAAAAAATCATTGAAATTGTAAAGATAATGGTACGCCAATGAGTTAATAATTTCTCTAATGAAACCGGAGGTTTCCAGATTTTGGTAACGGAAGATTTAAATTGTATTTAATTAATTTAAAAGAATCAAATAACATTCGTATTAAGTAGATTATATGTGAAATAACTATAACGAGTACGTGTCTCGTTATAGTTCAAGTGACTATGAAATCATTCGGGAATTAAGAAGGAAATTTGATTTTATTAGCACATATTATCCATTTTTAGCCTTTCCTCCGAAATTCTGATTAATTTCGGAAATTAAAATCTGATTACACCAAAGAAACAATACGATTTACAATGCTGTTCTTCGCCGAATGTTGTTCATCCGCACTACGTTCTACGAACATTAAAACCGAGCAAACGCTTGGAAACCTTCTGCTTTCACAATTCCGGTTATAAAAGCAGAGCCGTTAAGAACACGAGAGTCCTGGTGGCACTTGAAGCTCGTCGCGTCTCGCAAATTGAAATTAAGGTAGTCTACGAGCGGCTCGAAGAAAATCTGAGAAAAGTAACGTGGAGTTTCCGGCGGGAACGACTATATCGCGGCAATTCGAAGAGATTACCTTTTCCATTAAGATCGAAAGGGAGCGGAGGGCAGACGAAACGCGGATCCAGGCGCCTGGCGTCGTTAAATGTCCCCGGCAAGGTCAACATTTGTCTTTCTTCTTCCGCGTTGTTTCCCCTCCTGGCGACGTTCCGCGACGTAAAAAAGGTCTCTCGTTCGTTTCCTTCCGGTAGGATTCCTCCGGCGGATTCTTTCCTCGAGACGGAGGGCAGAAGAAGTCGCTCGTTCCGCTTCCTCACCCCCTCCTGTCTCCTCTCGCTCCTCATGCCTCCTGGATCCCGGATCCCGTGTTTACACGGACCCGACAATCGGCGAAGAGTTCTCGCTAACGAAGACGAAATTTAACGAACGTCCGAGCTTCCTCGTCGTCGTTTCTTCTCTCCGATTCCACCCCCGGCTAACTGGGGGAGGAGGGGGGAGCAGCGTCGTTCTGCTAACGATCGCGAGCCGGAGGAAACCCTCGCGACGAGGGTTGTCTGCGAGTAAGAGAAGGCCTCCGATAATCGCCTCGAACCAGAACGAGGTCGGCCTGACCAATAATCCGCCGTGAAAATGGTACGCGTTCTCGCGTTGGCCTCGCGCCAACCCCTGTCGCTCCTCGCATTCGGCGCTCGTCTTTGAACGTTACCCCAAGGGCCGTTCAATCCTTTCCGATGTCAGCCAACAGCCTCGACCAACAACGAATGCTCGCTGACTGTCGGACCGCGATTTTCCCTGAAACTTCGCAGCCTCGCGGAACGGCCAAAGATAGTACGAACGTGAACTTCGTAACTGTTTGAAAAAAGCGAAAGTGTCTGCGTTGCGTTCGGTCGACGATGCGACGCATACTAATGAAAAAACCCGATTTAAGCGTGTAAAATTCTAGACGCTGCTAATAGTCGACAATTCTGTGTTACATGAGTTATATATATTAAGTCTAAAGAAAACAGCAGAGAAAACGCAGAGGAAACAACGTACTTCAATTTAGAATGCAAGTTTTAATTCACAGCGACAGAAAAGAGAGATTCTTGAAAATTTCTTCTTTCTTTACGAAAGTATAACTTTGAGATTACTGCTTTACAATAAAAGCAGTAATAATACAAATAAAAACAAAAGAATGTTTACATCTCTAAGCATTATAGTTATTACCACAGCTTGTATTTGCTATAATTATTACTAATTATTACTGAAAACTTGCTCGATGCGAACGTACTCATCATCGAACTACCCCCCAAAAATTAAAATCACTGCAACATTTCGCCGCATGCAAAGCTGATAAAAACAAACTATATATTCCATTCTTAATATTTGTACAAAAATTAACGTAAATACAGCTCTCAAGTATTTCCCAAAACAAACTTGAAAATTCAATTCCTTAAAATCTTCTCGAGAAACATTGTTCAAAAATTTTCGAAAAATATTTACTTTCATTTCTGTATCTTCCTAACGAATAAAAAAATATTTTAGACATTTCCAAGATCCTGTTCCAAATATTCAAAATCCAGATCGACGTTTCGATAACAGGCTGGACGATCGGAGCTCGCCGCACTCGAGCCTGTTCGCGAAAGAATCTCTGCGACTGCTTTGGAAAAATTAAGTTTCGCAACGGCTTTTCAATATTTCTACCGCGTGAACATCAGCGTCGTCGCGTTTCGATGCCGCGACCGGGAAACTCGAAAGCCGTGTCGCGTCGCGTCACGTCGGCCGTCGAGACGGAAATCGCTTTGTCGTTCCGTGGCTCTTTCGGCTCTTTCTCCCTTTCGGTGGCTTTCGGTTTCTCTGTTTCTTTCTCCCCGCGAGAGAGAGAGAGAGAGAGAGAGAGAGAGAGAGAGAGAGGCTGATTCTCAGCCACACCCCCGTGCATCAGAAACGTTTTAAACGGGGAGCAGACACATTCTTGCCAGCTCGCGCGAGCGGCCGCGCACCTCGGTACTTTCGTTCGAGGCCTTTAATTTGGCACGTGTTCCACTCTTGGCTATTGTTGCCATGATTGTTGGGTGGATCGTTCCTCCTCGTCTCGTTCCATCCGTCCGTCCGGCCGGCTTTCTCGCTCTGTCCGCGGCTCCGGCCTCCTCTCATCCCCCGTTTCTGGCCTCCTCCGCCTCGCCTTGCCGCAGCGTACCGCTCGCTTTTTGCGGTAAACGCGGCGTATGGTGGTAATGCACGGCTCTGCTCTGTGTACCGTGGCCGGCACGTGTACCGTCTCTTCGTGGCCGTTTTTCGCGCCGGCGGCGGCGGCGACTTTTCGTCGGGACGAAACCATCCCGGCGAGTTGAACGCGTTCCTCCGCAACATCCGTTGTGGATCCATCGGCGACCAGGATTCGCGGGCAAATGATTTCGCCGACTGCTGATCGATTTTTTTACACCAGGGCTTGAGAACTGTTATAATATAGATTTAAGTACAGCAGATCCTCGCTTATCTGCACCTTGTTATAAGAACGAATTAATGTTCAATCGGATATACGAACTCATAATTTGGAGCTTTATTATCTGAACTGCTGTCGAGCATATCATCAGTTATACTAACACGCGTGTTTCTCTACATAAGTGGATAACTCTAAACTGCGAAAGAGAATAATTAACAAAACAATTAATTCTTGGTAACACAAAAGAATAATTTTTCGGGACGACAGACGACATAATTTACTCTTAATAATGATATTGATAATTATGTAAATCGTTTTATATTTCGATGGATGCTGTTGGATTGCAGACGTTCAACGAGAAATGGTAACTGCATCTGTTTTCGTTGAATCGAAGTACTCAGACATATTCTTAGGCGCGTTCAGATACTAATCGAAATCGCAAGCAGAGTTGGGCAGTAACCTATTATCTCGATTACGAAGAATAATCATGGTAATCATAATCATTCATCAATTAATCGTTACTATAATAAAATCAGTATTCATCACCACATTTGGTAACCTGTAATCGTTTTATCAGTAATCTCTAATCAGGGACGAATGATTAATTAATCTTTACTCATCGCTTGCTATTGGGTTCGGATAAGGGACTCAAATAGAAAAAGTCTTTCGTTGAGTCGTGAAATACACGCAGATTTCCTAAAAACTTTCCAGAATTATTACCTACCATATTACCAAATTCTTCAGTTAATCTTAATCAAAATAAGTAATCATTACATTGCTTATCACTTGCTATTGGGTTCAGATTAGGGGCTCAAATAAAAAGTCTTTCGTAGAGTCGTGAGATACACGCAGATTTCCTAAAAACTTTTCAGAATTATTACCTGCCATATTACCAAATTCTTCTCAGTTAATCTTAATCAAAACAAGTACTCATTACATTGCTCGAGTTATCTATAGTTTAGATTATTTGATTACCTAATAATCGTAATCTTTAATCGTGAACCTGATTTCACGTCAGCCATAATCGTTAATCATTAACCAGATTACTTCTGGCCCAACTTTGATCCGAAGTGACCACCGAGTCGTCACCCAATGGTTCCTATCTTCGGNTTCGGTGGCTTTCGGTTTCTCTGTTTCTCCCCGCGAGAGAGAGAGAGAGAGAGAGAGAGAGAGAGAGAGAGAGGCTGATTCTCAGCCACACCCCCGTGCATCAGAAACGTTTTAAACGGGGAGCAGACACATTCTTGCCAGCTCGCGCGAGCGGCCGCGCACCTCGGTACTTTCGTTCGAGGCCTTTAATTTGGCACGTGTTCCACTCTTGGCTATTGTTGCCATGATTGTTGGGTGGATCGTTCCTCCTCGTCTCGTTCCATCCGTCCGTCCGGCCGGCTTTCTCGCTCTGTCCGCGGCTCCGGCCTCCTCTCATCCCCCGTTTCTGGCCTCCTCCGCCTCGCCTTGCCGCAGCGTACCGCTCGCTTTTTGCGGTAAACGCGGCGTATGGTGGTAATGCACGGCTCTGCTCTGTGTACCGTGGCCGGCACGTGTACCGTCTCTTCGTGGCCGTTTTTCGCGCCGGCGGCGGCGGCGACTTTTCGTCGGGACGAAACCATCCCGGCGAGTTGAACGCGTTCCTCCGCAACATCCGTTGTGGATCCATCGGCGACCAGGATTCGCGGGCAAATGATTTCGCCGACTGCTGATCGATTTTTTTACACCAGGGCTTGAGAACTGTTATAATATAGATTTAAGTACAGCAGATCCTCGCTTATCTGCACCTTGTTATAAGAACGAATTAATGTTCAATCGGATATACGAACTCATAATTTGGAGCTTTATTATCTGAACTGCTGTCGAGCATATCATCAGTTATACTAACACGCGTGTTTCTCTACATAAGTGGATAACTCTAAACTGCGAAAGAGAATAATTAACAAAACAATTAATTCTTGGTAACACAAAAGAATAATTTTTCGGGACGACAGACGACATAATTTACTCTTAATAATGATATTGATAATTATGTAAATCGTTTTATATTTCGATGGATGCTGTTGGATTGCAGACGTTCAACGAGAAATGGTAACTGCATCTGTTTTCGTTGAATCGAAGTACTCAGACATATTCTTAGGCGCGTTCAGATACTAATCGAAATCGCAAGCAGAGTTGGGCAGTAACCTATTATCTCGATTACGAAGAATAATCATGGTAATCATAATCATTCATCAATTAATCGTTACTATAATAAAATCAGTATTCATCACCACATTTGGTAACCTGTAATCGTTTTATCAGTAATCTCTAATCAGGGACGAATGATTAATTAATCTTTACTCATCGCTTGCTATTGGGTTCGGATAAGGGACTCAAATAGAAAAAGTCTTTCGTTGAGTCGTGAAATACACGCAGATTTCCTAAAAACTTTCCAGAATTATTACCTACCATATTACCAAATTCTTCAGTTAATCTTAATCAAAATAAGTAATCATTACATTGCTTATCACTTGCTATTGGGTTCAGATTAGGGGCTCAAATAAAAAGTCTTTCGTAGAGTCGTGAGATACACGCAGATTTCCTAAAAACTTTTCAGAATTATTACCTGCCATATTACCAAATTCTTCTCAGTTAATCTTAATCAAAACAAGTACTCATTACATTGCTCGAGTTATCTATAGTTTAGATTATTTGATTACCTAATAATCGTAATCTTTAATCGTGAACCTGATTTCACGTCAGCCATAATCGTTAATCATTAACCAGATTACTTCTGGCCCAACTTTGATCCGAAGTGACCACCGAGTCGTCACCCAATGGTTCCTATCTTCGGCCAGGAAGATCTGGATCGAATGCTCGACTGTTATCTGTGAAACGCCGAAGCGTGTACAGGGTGGGAACCGCGAGAGGTCCGACAGAGGGGGGTCACCAACGCGGGGCCCGGCTGGCTGGAATAATGCGATACAAAGGAGAGAAGTCCCTCCTTGTGGACCCGCGACGCGGACGGGACGAGGAGAACGTACGAGGCCTGTCCGCCGCGAAGATAAAGAGTGGCGTGTATACAAAGAAACCTGCTGGCACGCAGCGCGTGAGGAAGAACGATGGCGAAATTCCCCGCGCGCAGTCCGTAAATTCCAGACTTTACTGCCTGTCGTCGGCGAAATCGAAGCATATTATTTCAACGGAGGCGCGCGGGATCATCCCCGCGGCCGAGCGGTAAGAGCGAGCGAGACGGAACGGCGGGGACCGAATGTTTTTCATTACCCAGCCGGGGAATGTCTCCGGACCGGGGCGAAACATTTCCCGAATAATTGAACAGGATCGTCGCATAGATAATGCCAACGGCGAGCGATATACTTTCCGCCTCGAAATACTCTCCCGCCGAGCCAGCTCGAAAAACCGTCTTAAAATCGTCGTGTCGTCGATCTTGATCGCGTCCGATCCACCTTGAAGCTACTTGTAATCGCTCGCAATTAATTAGCTCGAACAACGCAGCTCGAAGAAGTCTCCGGGATGATAATACGTTAATTGCTTGCTAAAGTCGCCGCCGGTTGTCTACAGAAGCTTTTTGCAGCTGGTCCTTAGCGAATATGTAAACGAGATCCGAGATGTTTTGTGCTTCGATGATACGGGACTGAAACTAGTTTCCGATGTTCTCCTGTAAATTATGACTCGCGTGACTAATCGACGAAGATAGAATCGATGAGTCGGCCGAAGAAGATGCAGGATATACGTAGCAGTAGACTGTGCGCGATGATATTTCGAAGCGACGCAAACCGCGCGACGCGTTCCGCGAGTCGCGCTCGATCGAAGATTGTTTGGCGCTCGCGCCGGATATTCGTTAGGCTCGTATTCCCCCCGAGTATTCCCCTGCATGAGGTAGTATGTGTTTAGTAGAACGGGGGTGGCGGGTCGTCCCTCTGGCGGAACGAGTTCCCGATTAATCTGGATACTGTGCTCGCTTGCAGGAGCTGAAGGAGAGTTTCAATTACGGGCTGTTCTGCCCGCCCGTGAATGGAAAGGCCGGAAAATTCTTGGACGAGGAACGCCGACTCGGCGATTATCCCTTCAATGGACCCGTCGGATACTTGGAGGTAAGAGACGCGTTGCTTTTCTTTAATGGCCGGACCCCCCGAAGGGTTGCTCGCGAGTCGCGAGCCACCGTGCGACCGGTCGTCGCAAATACACGACTTGTCGCACCGGTCCTGCCAGGCCTAATCAGTCGGTGATAAAAAGGTCTGATCGCGTAAGAAGACAGGATGCGGTTTACGTGAAATTTCGGAAGGCAGAGAGTCGTCTCTTCGTTCTGTTTTGACTTTGATAAGCTTTCAGAATGGTACACCGATCGTTCTTTTGTTCTAATGTTCTTCTTGTTGGCCAACGCGAAGGGGCGACCGCAAGGTGTTTAGAAGAGGGAGGGTAGGTTTCAGGAAAGAGCGAGGGTGCGATGGATCTATGAAAGAGATGGAACTGGAGACTGTGTAATTATTTAGAGAAGAGAAGAGTTCAGAATAAAGAATGAACTAGAGAAGAAGAATGTGAAGGAACTGGGAAGAAACTAGGGAAGATGAGAGGTCTCCTTCAGATGGATTACAAAATTCGTAGCATTTGAATCGTCGTGAAAAGATTTTTAACGCGAAGTTTAATGCGAACACGTTGCTCCATGAATTTCGACGTTATAAAAATCGCCGCTTGCTCGAATCTCGTCTGACAAAAATGGCTGCCGTAAACAAACTATTTGATTGATCTGACGTTGACAACGCAACTAGGTTATTTTAAGGTGTATCAACTGAATGAAACGAAGACAATCGCATCTCATTGTTTCTCGTTATTCAGACCGTCCTGGAACTTTTTGAACGGAATAGTATTCTGCGAGAGATGTCAAACTTCTCCGAACAGTCGCCGATATAAAAATAGCAGAAACGCGGAGATAAAAATGAATAAGTCTGTCTCCGAGTTCGAACTGTCCCCCTCGCGACAATACGCGTTGGTATCCGCTCAACGTGAAATCCTCGGTGCAACAGATGTTCGAACAGAACCGTATCACGGCCGAACGCGATCACATAACAAGACCGGCACACGTTACGATTATCGTTGCAACACTGTCCGCGAAGAAAGTTGTACAACTCGTTGTACGATAAATTGCTGGGACCATTTTTCCCGGGTTCTTCGACACCGGTCGCCGGTGCCGAGCCAATGACCACGCGGGGAACGGTGGAAGCGGGAAACTGGATATGTGACTTCTGTAACGAGAAAGAAGATAAAACGAGAATGTAATTCCATTTGTACACAAATTGAGCGAAGAGGTCGCGCGTCCGGCCGATAAAGGGGCCGACTGTCGGCTTCGATAACATTTTGTTCAACCCTCGAACCAATAAGGTAAAAGCATTTATTATGGAACGCTTTTCAACGGATGTAAGATTATCATCGATTTTATTGCAACTTAGACGTGCTATTATCGAATATTTGTACCACTCTGCGATAGATCGATGATCCTAGATAACGTAATGAACTTTCAAATATTTATTTAATATGAATAAAATACTTATTATGGAATATACCTCTGTATTTCATAAATCGGGACAATGCAAAAATTGGTGTGCAGAATATGGAACATTATGTTCTTGCTTAGAAACACCCGTTTTCAAATAATAGATCTTTTTTACAGCTAATTGTTACATAACAGTATTTGTGCGAGAGAATTTATTTCAGAATCTTTATCGTTGTTGTTTCGTTATTGTTACTCTCTATCGTTTATCGTTGTTATTTCGTTGTTGATTTTATTTCGTTCATAATCCATGGTTATTGTTTACAAATGTATATATTTATGTTATTTGTTATTTCCACGCGAAACTGAAGTGAACTGTATTAAGAACTTTTACCTTATCAATGATATTATTAAAAGCAAAAACGAGAAACGCGTGGTACCTAGGAAGTCCGAAAATTTTCGTCGGGACAGAGGGCCGCGGGAGGATCGCTAATGGGTTTAATTTGGATTTGCATCCCTGACCTCGCGACGACCATTCTCGTCCGGAATAATTGCCGCGGGGAGGCTGAATGCGCCGGCGAAATGGGCTCGCTGCGGGGGAGGCCGAGAGGGTGCATTGACGCGGCCGGAAAAGGTTATTTCAGCGACAAGATTGCCCGGCCCCATTGACGTCCGTTCCCTGTCAAAGAAAACAAGAGAGAAAGCATCGGCAGAGAAGTCCGCTCGGCCACCAAGTCCAAGAGACACTTGAATATCTGGGGTTCCTCTTCTCCCAGGTCAAGGAGCCACCCTGGATATTTTTTCCGACGTACTATTTAATTCTGCGCTTTTTTCGAAAACGCGAATGATCTGCCAAGAGAAATTCGCTGGGAACGGGACCATCCACTCACCATTTCAATCTCTTGCTGCAGTCCTGCACAAAATCGTAGTTCACTCAACGTTTTCTTTTATTTCTGAAAGCGTGTGCCAAATAATATTTCTGAAAACATCTGCTTCTTTTGTAAATTTACTCTGCCGTTCAAGCTTGAATATTCCATATACTTCGCAGAGTTCCAAATGCAATTCCATTTATTTATTCCTGCTTATTTAAAACTGATTTTATTAATTCCGAGCTTCCTTTTTTTGGATGATTAAAAATGTTACGACAATTTAACCAAGCGATCCATTATTATTATTATATATCATTATATCTCCTATTGATATTATTATTATTAATGTTGTTCGTATCACTACTATATTTATTATCTAATTTTCATATTAATGCTGATTGTTTCATTCTATCTCTGTTTATTATTATCTTCTTATTCGCCGTTACAAAATTCTCTGCCATAAAGGATCCGCCCTGTTGACGTAATAAACATTAGTATTATAATAATAATTATTAATACAGATTTTGCGCAGCCTGTATATTGCACGGTTAATTATTACGTCGAATAAATAACTTATTAACCTTCTGGTAGAGTAATAGTGCAAAGGGTCAACAGTTCGTCCGGATGATCGATTAATCTGCTATTTGGTCTTTTTTTCTGGCGCATCAAAGGGCCGCCGTCAACAAATTGTTATGATTAAAAGCGTGGAGGACGCGCGGTGAATTGGTTCGGGGACAGTGCCTGTCGCTTTTTCGACGAACTAATTATCATAAACGATCGATCATCCCGCGGTGAAGCATCTCGACGCTCGCGTTCCTCCGGGCGGCTTTACAATTTCGACAAAGGATGTTGGCGAGGGTCGAGATGTCGCTGAAAAAGCGATCGATCTCAGCGGTGGGGCAAGGTTGATTCGGTTTTAAAAATGTACCAGACGAACAACGGGGAAGAAGAGAACGTGGCACGTACCGTGGTATTCAAACAGGATAACCAAATTAGTTGAACGCGACGTTCTGCTTTGGCGAGCGATCTAATGGGACGCCAGATTAAATCTAACGGGCGCAGCGTGGATTTAATATGTTTGCAGCATCGATGATCGCCCGAGTGTGGCCGAGCTTAATAAAGCTTTTCGGGGGTTTTATTTCGAATGAAATTGGATTAAAAAAAAAAGTTATTTCATATTTTTCCATTTATCTCCAAAATCTCCAAAACTGACGGTCGTGGATTAACCGTTTACCAGGCAGATTAGTTTCGATTACTTTTCACACTCTCGCACTCTTCATTTCTGTTTTCGATCTGATTGTCCAACTGTCCACGTATTCGTTCATTTATTTATTTATTTTACCAAACATCGACATTCAATGAACAGACTGCGGATTTCCGTAGTAGACATTTTTCTTGAAAGTAACGCAACAGCGTTTTCGAATGCGTTACGTGTTTTCGCTGTTGTTTTGCGTTTGATCTGCTAATTTTTTCGATAAAGCGTAAGATCCACGGTTCGCCGATGAATACAACGTGTACACGAATTCAAGAAACGATACAGGAATCGGCTTAAATTACAATTTTCAGATCAGAACGGGAAAAACGAGCTACCGCCGATGGAAGATCCGTGAACCGATTGCAACAAAGCCGCGCGTATCCGACTCAGTGTTCTGAAATTAGAATTTTGCACGATTACAATTACAAGTTACAGGATCAGAGATATCATCGGGAAAGTTCACGATCGTCGATCGAAAATCTGTTAACCGGTCGCGGCGACGCCACGTATCCGGAGACGTTAGACGACGGCTGTTGAAACGGCGATTCGCGAAAAACAAATAATCCCGGTGGTCGGATAACGAGATCTGGAACTTGCCCGCGGTTTTCTTGCGTAACCGGATCTAGTTCTCGTCCTGGTGCACGCGTTCACTTCACGCTCGTGTTCATCTTCGTCCCCGTCGCAGCGCTCGCGCGATCATCTCGAGATTTCACTTCCAGGGGATGCGGAGGGTCGATCGCCTCGCCACTGACACCTTCGACTGCCTCTTATCGTCGTCGAGTGTCGTGCAGGCTCCCTGTTCCCGGCTCGTTTCGATAATTTCCAACAAGAACAAACGCCGCGCGTATTTTCAGCGCTGCGAGAGAGCAGTCAAACGGACTCGATCCCATTTTACGAGTGCCGATTACCTCGAGACCGTTCTCCTTTTTCACGTTTAGCGTGCTCTATCCAGTCGATGTCTAATGGAGGACTTCGAATTGTCATCTTGTTTGATTTTGTTGTCCTGGAGAAATCCTGTTCCAGGTCATTTATTCCCGACGCGCGATTGAGACGTCTAAATAGCCGGAATTTTTATATCATTCGGCCGATCTTTGCTGGCTCATTGTGTCAGCTTAGCTGCGATAACCTGCTCCATACGTTCGTAGAACGTAATGGTAATTTCCCCGACCACGGACAACCAACTCGTCAGTTTCTCCGTGGAAGACCAGATGCAGATGATCTGGAATGGAAACAATTAGCGCCGACACGCGTAAAAACCATGCGCGACTAATTTTTCGAAGGAAACAAAATAAATTACAATCTGCGATGGAGAGATCAAGTCATCTCATTCCGCATTAGAACAGGCCCGAGGGAAACACAGTCATTCCTGATGGATACAGTATCAATTTTCGCATGCAACATTATTTTGTCGCGCGCAAAACATAATGTGCTACGTGAAATATACAAAACAGGAAACATACTGGAAGATAATCTTGACAAGGATAAATTTATTAAAAATATCGAAATCCTGAAAGTGATACCGTAATGATATGCGTTCACGTCGCCGATAACCATGCAGTTGATGCGACGTCAAAACTCTGCTTAAAAAGAAAAGGAAAAGATGTCAATTGTTTTTGTTAAGGGAAGAGGTACTGTTGCTCGTCACAATATACCGACACAAGATATCGTCACACACGCGAACAGTAAATACAGTCGAATCTGAAGCAATGAATGTTCCAATAAAGAAGCTGGAGCGATAAGAATTCAACGCGTGCTTGTCAATATTCTGATTGGACCGGCGCAAATCGGTTCGTGAACGGTAGCCATCAGGCGAGGTTCTTTAAGAGAGGTTACAGGGTCTGGATGAAGCGGTTCGAGAATAAATTATCCTAAACGATGCAGGCGGCGCGCATCGACGGCCAGGGAGTGCAAATTAATAGTCGCGGCTAGATTTTTCGGGCAGTCACCGGCTGCTAGCTAGCAGGTAGTCGAGGAGGAAGAAGAAGAGGAGGAGGACTGCTTCGTGAGTCAGCTCTCGTCTCTGAAAGTGAATCTCGCGTGACGAGATCGACCGTGCTCGCCAGTCAGCGATCGATGAGCCGGCGATGGAGATAAAAAACCGTCGGAGGAAATAAAAAGCAGCATGTTGCGGATACCGACGGCACCGAATACCGGTGATCTATGGCACCTGTCTAACCCCGACTATTCATTTCTATCCGGCCGGTTCGGCCAGCATTATAGCTCGCAGCTTCGCCGATGAAAAAGTAAAACACGTCGTCCGGCATCCTTGGACGTTTGCACTTTATCTACATCCTTCTGACCGACGTTGAAATATCTCGCGAAACGGCCGCCCTGAAAATCCAGACTGACCAAGGTCATTGACCGGCCGATTCACCCGGTCACCGTGACCGGCCGAATCTCCTGTCGGCGATGCAAATATTCGAGCTGACGACCCTCGAAAACACCGTCCATTGCGAAGGTGTCGCTTTGGTATACTTTTAGGTGGTTCTCCAGCGATATTTCAACACACTTTTGGGGGTAGTTTGATTCTCAACATATTTTTTAAGCTACCGATTCTCTAATTTAAGCGTTTACACTGCTGGTAATTATACCTTCTTCTAGTAATTCTGTTAACTTGAAAATAGGGTAATAATGTCGTTGAATTCTTCTTGTGTCTTCACAATTTTATATTTGAACTACTCGTTTTCGTCATGAATGCACGAAATGCGGAATTGTATGCTAGTTTCGTTCGAATTGCTGGAAAGCAATCGTAGAAAATTTCTGCAAACTTTTCGCAAATTAAAGCTAATACGTCTTTGTGAAGTACCTTGAATAATTAATGAAGAATCCCAAAGATTGTCAATTGTAAAATTGTGAAAATGGTTCGAGGATTAAATGGTAAATTAAATTGGAGTTTGAGATGACTCAGAAAGGTACAGCCACTGGCTTGACAAAATTGTTCGTCATTCTCCGACGATGAGTATCGTCACTAGTATTAATACATTACGGGCGGGAGAGGTATTAATACCTTTTTTGTTTAATTTTGTTACGAGAGAGATATTAATACTTCTTTGTTTAACTTTGTTATACATTTAAAATAATAATTGAAAGTACCTCGGTTTAAGAAATCCCAAAAATCGTCGTCGTATACTTGTTATCTAAATCTCATTGCTAGTTTCGAATATATTAAATGTTTCTTAAAAAGTGGATTCTTTCGAACTTCCCTGATTTCCCCCCGCTAGGCGCATGAGCAACGCTCGATCTGTTACCCGCAGAAGATCTGTAAATTACCGTAGATTAGAAACGGCTGGGCCGTCGGAACCGAAAATATCGGATCGTGTTTCGTAAGAAGGGGATGTCGCACGGCGGCGTTCCCCGCATCTCCGTATCTCTAATTTGCATTACAACTCGGCCTCCCTTGATAATCATAATTGCTGCTAACGGTAGTCATTAGCGGTGCTGTAGCCGCGATATTGCCTATCCGTCAGTAATCTAATGCTATGAGGCACGACGCCTCCGATAATTACAAAGAAGCTGTAACCACCAGGAAGCGGCAGGGTGAATCCCCATTAAGCGGAGATAATTTTATACTTTATACACGGCGTGCACGACGGGGTCTTGTTACATGGAAGGGCACCGTCGTGTATCGCCGCCTGGAGATCGACCAAAAAGCGACAACAGCGAAAACAAAGTAGAAATAGTTTTCGGTTCAGGCGCCAGCGGTAATTAACGCGGTGGCGATCCAGTCGGAGCAACTTCGAATCTCTTTGCCATTTGTTTGCCCTGCGAGCAAACTTCCCATGCCCTTTCGCCGAAGCAATTGCAGAACTAATTACGGAATTATTTGGCTTGAACATTTATCAAACAGCGGAACTTTCGAAGTAGACGGCGCATTCGTTCCGAATTTCATTTAATGTTAAACCGACCGTGCCAGTCAAACTGACCCTTCTCGAAGTACTTTCTTTGAAAATCGTTCTCGTTCTAAAGATACTTTCACAGCAAATAATTGCATAATATAATACTCGCACTCATTATGACAGAACTGGCGAACAGTTTCTACGTCAGTTATCTTCCAGTGTGTTTCCTATTTTGTTTATTTCATCCATATTTCCATAGCGTTACTTTGCAACCTATTCAGGCCAGTTGTGGAATAATGTAATTGATCTTACACACCATGTAATTGCGGTATTATTCATGACACAACCAGCCCGGCAAGATCGCTAAGGGTTGCAAAATAATTTGAACCTTGTCATTAGAGTTCTAAGAAGCCATTGATCCTCTATCTGGCTTTTCTGAGCGCCTCGAGCAACGCGCGACTTGGTTGCTCTCGAGTTTCTCAACATTACACGTGCTTTCCTCAACTTTGCAGCTCAAGTACAAGCGACGGGTCTACAAGATGCTGCATCTGGATGAGAAACAGCTGAAGGCGATGCACACCAGAACGAACTTGAGAAGGTTACTGGAGTACGTGGCCAACAGCCAGGTCGAGAAAATCGCGAAGATGTGCAGCAAGGGCCTGGATCCTAACTTCCACTGTCAGGAAACCGGAGGTAAAATCTTTGGATTGCTATAGTCAGCGGTCGTCGATCGAATTTCTCAGAAACTAGGATTCGCAGGGAAATCTACAAAAAATTCAACCGCGAATCTGCACGTGAAATAAAGACACTCTGCATGAATTACGAGAAATTACAGTCTAGCGGAAATAACTTCAAAATAATGTATCGATAACCTTGTATTATTTTAACGTTTTTTTTTTTCAATGAATAAGTTCTGTCACGAAACGACTGCTGCTTTTGCAGAGACTCCGTTGACGTTGGCGACGACCCTGAAGAAGCCGTCGAAGGTGATCATAGCGTTGGTGAACGGCGGCGCGTTGCTGGATTATCGAACGAAAGACGGACTGACGGCGATGCATCGAGCAGTGGAGAGGAACAGTTTGGATGCAGTGAAGACGCTTTTGGAGCTCGGGGCCAGTCCGAATTACAAGGACACCAAGGGCCTAACACCTCTCTACTACAGCGTGATCTACAAGACCGATCCGATGCTCTGCGAGACGCTGCTCCACGACCATGCAACGATCGGCGCGCAGGACTTGCAAGGCTGGCAGGAAGTGCATCAGGTTTCAGAGCAGTTTTCCCCATCCTTAAGAATCGATCTTCGTCCTCTTTGGCGGCCGTTATGTATCGCGTATCGGTCAATTAAACAGCCTCCCTGGTTTGACGCTCCAATTACAGTTCAATCTTCAGGAATTTTTCATTGGAAATCTACCGAGCAATTTAATTTCAACCTATTCGTATTCATGACAAATGACTTTCGAGGAATCTAATCGAGTTTTCTTAACATATTATCTGCGGAAGAGGTGTTAATATCTTTTTAACAATTTTATTTCTTTTCGATTTTGTTGTATATTTGAAAGAATCGCAATCCTAAAAATCTTCGTCGTATGCTTGTTAACAAAATCTTATCGTCGGTCTTGAAAATATTAACTGTTTTTTTTTTAAAGTTGTTTCTCCATCGTTGGAATCATTTTCTCCAGAATTACAGCTGTAATTACAATATTTTGGAAAGAGAAGTCGATTGCTAGTGACTACTTGAGAATTTTTGGAAAGAAATTATATCAACATTTTAATTCTTACATCGATGCACTTCCTAAGAGAATATTTTCAAACCGCAATGACCATTTTCTTCAGAGTTTGAGAAACTAAAGCCGATTATCGTCGACCAGGCTTTTAGTCTTCCAATAAACGTAGAAAGTTCTTCCGCGTTCTACTTTCCACCATTACCAAACTTCCGTACTTGTTGTCATAATCCCGGGATATCTTCCAAAGAAGCGATTTTGAAAACCCGTCAAACTAGGGCGAGCCCTTAATTACAAATGGAAGAAGAGCGCCTGTGAATCGATGCCGGTTGAGAAATTGCCGATTCGAATGTCCGGCGATGGCCGTCGAGGTCTTGTCTCGGATCTCGAATCGTCGGCTGAGAGGCCGAGATACCCGCGGAACCAGTTAACTGTGTTATTACAGCCGCCGAGATCAATTAATTCGCGCGCAGACGTATAGATAATATGTATGTTAACGTTTCGCCGAGCAACCGAGTTACGCCAGACCGGACGCTGGATACCGTGTAACGCGGTTGCCCGCCGATTTTTGCACATTGTTGCGATAAGGGTCCGCACTTAGGGAGCTTAGGGATAGCAGCGTTCCACGAGCGAAGGCCGTTCATTGGGAAATTTCCCCTCGATGTAATCTCTCCCTGCACCTGTGTGCAACCGTGATAAAACGCGATGGTTCAACCGGAATCGGTGCCCGCGATTCATGCGTTATTCGAACGATGAATTGAATCGCGACTTCAATAAAACTGTCCCGCGGAAGAAAATTGATTCTTGGAAATTCTTGAAATCCTGCTGAAACTGACAGGCCAATCGGGAAAGCCGAGTCGGTCGCTGCCAGAGGGAGCTTCGCAATAATTAATCCCGCGCTCGTCTCTCGCCGTTGGCGATATTGGCTTTCAAATTAATGAACCAGCCTCTGGACTCGAACATTCGAGACGATTAATTTCTTTGTTGCTGCGTCTCGTTGCCATTTTTAAATTTTCGAAACTTTCCATCCGACCCTCGCTCACCGGAATAGATATCGAGCTCGGTGCGCCCCTTTTTATCACACCGAATTTTATAAATAAATTGTGATTCATACGAAAGAGAAAGGGCATTCTCAACGAACGCTCGGAACCCTAATCGCAACGCTGCGCACTACCGGGTCGCTTTAAGAATCGCTGCACGCGCAGCCGGAGTTATCGCGAAGCGAAAGACGCGCACGTTCCCGAGACCTTTGACTTAATAATAAAACCGGCGGCTAGCCAAGAAGCTTGGCGATCGATGGATCAAGGACCCTGATCCCTAGAAATCTCTACCGGCGCGCGTTTGTTTACGGGAAACGCGCGTACACCTTGTCGTCGCGCCGAGAGCAAGGTTGTAAGGTGGGAAAGCGCTCTCGGTTTAATTATAATCGGTCCTGCCCTTCGATAATCGATAACGTGAGCCGCGTTGGCGTTCGCAGGCCTGCCGCAACAACCTGGTCCAGCACCTGGATCATTTGCTATTCTACGGTGCCGACATGAACGCGCGTAACGCGTCCGGGAACACGCCGCTGCACGTTTGCGCAGTGAACAACACGGACGCGTCCTGCATCCGGCAGTTGCTGTTCCGGGGAGCGCAAAAGGATAGTCTGAATTACGCGAACCAGACGCCCTACCAAGTGGCAGTGATCGCCGGGAACATGGAGCTCGCCGAGGTCATCAAGAACTATCAGCCGGAGGAAGTCGGTGAGTGCTCGCGCGAAAGAGAGAGTCAGAGCGAATGAGTGAACTACGCCCGAGTTAGGCCAGCAACCGAGCTAGGCGAGAAAGAGGAAGGGTACGGAGGAGCGCTCATGCCGGTATCGCGACCAAACTGATCGAGCTTACCCACGAAAAGCTGATCGAGGCTCCACGATCTCTCAGAACCGTTCGATCGGTCAGCCGAAACGCTTCCAAACCCCTTGACTCGACGACCTATCGGTCCTCTTTGCTTCCAGACGCTCGACGCGTTCGCCATCGTCTCTATCGTGTCCCATTTAACATTATCGAGTACTAAAAGCGACTGCCGCGTGTCGCTTCGTAACAGCGACAAGATTATTCATCAATTTTATCATAATGTATGCTTGCGTTAACGCTGAATCTACCGCGACTTATGATGATTCTTCCTTAAGAAACCATTTAATAAACAACATCAATCGCGCTTACATTAGAAGAGAAATGATGAGAAATCTACGTGACTTCAATCTTTTCATTCTAACGAAGCAACACGCATCAGTCGCTTTCTGTCTTCGGTGAGTTTAGTGTTAAAATATTGACTCGTTTCCTACGAAAGAGTCTTTGCATTTTCGACAACTTTGAAGTACAAACTGTGGAAACCGTCATTTTGACCGACTCGGTAGATTTAGTATTAAACTCGACTGCCTCTCTCTTCAGAACTATTTGCAATTCTTTCCTAGGCGAATGTATCTTCGGAAACTAGCATAGTAGCCTTACAATATGTTCGTCTTGGAAGCTCGTTCCTTCGGTGAACGTCCAGAATTTGTTTCGTATAGTTCGGCAAACGATCGCGCGACCCCTCGTTCCTCCGAAACAGCATAGTCAAGATGCAAACTGTTTCTAATTTTATCGGCTAGAGCGACACGGGCCGGAGACTGATGGCGACCGCGTCGAAAGAGTAATATGAACTTGAATCGTGGTGAATTGGAGCGATCGGGATCACGGTTTCACGGCGAAGATTAGGCGACCGGAACGGATCTCGGCCGAGAGTCGGTTCTATCGACCATCTTTCCGCTTATCAGATAAAGCTTGGATTTCGATCGATCGTTCGAGGATCTTTCGCTGCACGATTAGCCAAGCATGAGCATGCCTTGTAGCGAGCTTCGTCTTTTTGATTCCTCCACAATCAAGACACCGAGACGCTTTTGTAATCACGCTTTTGGTCTACGTAGCCGTAGAGTACTTTTGGAAACCCGGTCTGCTGGATTTTTTTCTTTTTGGTGTACATATTGTATCATGATCGTGTTCGTAACTGGTAAATTTTGTGCGTGTGGTATCTCTGTGTCCCGTGCTGTATGAACTATAAGTAAAGTGAATTGTAACCAGTCCGGTGGGTTTCTCCTTTTTGGTGGTGATGGTCTTGTGAGAACGTCGAGCAGCATCTTTTGTACGCGATTCACGCGGAGTAACGGCCGAGAAGTTTGACCGACTGCTTTTCATTTTGAGTAACCGATGATAACGTATCTATTTGGATCGTCGCCGAGCGACCTCGAGGCTGTTGTTGATGTCTCGATGATCTTTCGAAATCGTTCGCGCCTCCTACGAACCGATCGCGGCTCGATCGGTGATCGTATCGTCGTTGGACAGCGTCGACGTCGCTCGCGAAAGATGATTAGTAATGTTTGGTAGTTTCGATATATTGGCTCGTCCCATAAGCGAGGCTCCTCGGGCTTCTGGTTCCTCTATGGTCGACGAGCGATGCCGCTTATGTGATCAGCTAATAGTTTGTGAGTATACGTGTGCCGTCCTGGGTCAATGGAACCAGGTTCCAGCGGCTCGTCGCACAGTGCGGAACGATCTCCTGAAAACCTGGTCGAAAAGCACGGCAATTTAAAGCGTTTTTCGTGCTCTACGTTCAAGGAAAATAGAGACTTTACAACACCGCACGCTGGTACACGTGGAAATCGAATCGCTGCAGCAATTAACCCTTAAATTAATGCATTAATGCAGATCGTTATTCTAATAGAAGGTTTTCTAAAAGCGATAACCAGATCTCTCTATAATTCTTGACTATTAACAGATCCATTTCGCAGAACATTTCCGATGCTTATTTTCACTGAACGTTTTGTGAACCGTCGCGCACGCTTGGATCGCGATCAAGCTGCGGACTGCAGATTTTGGCCAGGTGCGGAAACGTTTTGGGCACGGTGCGTCGACGGCAGGTTTGGCGATATCACTGGTGCACATGCTATGTCTAAACGGGAGTACGAAGACCGTCGAGGCACATTGTATCGTACAAAACGGATACAAGCAACCGTGATGAATGCGTGATTAAAAAGATATTAACCACTTTCCGGGCGTGCTTCTCACCGCTTTCTTGTACAGTGACCGACGAAACGCGTCGTTGTTCCGATCCGTCGTTGTTCTATCGACCCGTGAACCGAACGATCACGCACACGACCGCCGCGGCACCGTGTAGCGTTTGTGCGCGCGTGGTTCTGCGTGTGTCTGCGTGCGTCCGTGCGTGATTAGATGCGTACGTCGACGGCTAATGCGAGTCTCTGTTTCGGAAAAGTTCTGCGGCGATTTTCGCATCCGTGAAACGCCGCGCCAGAACCTCGAACGTTGAACGGACGTCGATATCGCCGTCCCCCGAGAACCATCCGATTCTCTGTCGATCGAGCAAACACGGAGTCGTACACCTGTCGCACTGGACCAAAACGGTCCGTGCTTCTTGAATTTCAGCCACCGGCTGCCGAGGTTCGGTCCCAGAGATACAGAGTTTTACAAATTTTCAGCTCGCGATGTTTCGGAGCCAAAAGTTTTTAAAAGAGTCGAGTTTCCTGTTTGATGTTTTTGGTATTTCCGGACTGGGGACTTGTACCGAAATGTAAAATATCTGTATCATCCCGGTATTTTCGGTTGTATACCTTGAAAACCTTTATATAGAACGAAATACAAATATACCGGTGATGACGTCGTACCGGTGTATAAAAATATTGGCATATTTTCAAATTTCATTAGAATTTCCAGTGTATTTTTAAGCACGGATCTAGATCCAGTTATTTCACTATCGATGTTACGTTAGCAGATACTGAAACTGATATGCAGTACCACAATTGCTATGATACCGAAGTCAGGATAATTAAAAGCATATTTATGATAATATACAAATGTATGTACTATGTTTACGAATCTGGAAAGAATACGGAAGGAATATATTACAGCCTACAATAGTTGACGTATCTCATACGTGCAATGTTCTTTGCACTTTGATAGCGAAACATTATATCCTTTCTTGCGACTGCAGTTGCGCGATACTGAATTATACTAAGATATAATGATATTTTTATACATATAGACTATTATGTCAACATCAGTATATTTAAAATCAATGAGGCTTTGTTGAACGCATTATTGAAATCGATCATCCGCCATGACTTCAAAAGGAAAACTGAAAAGATATATTTCGGTATTATATCAATTTCGGAACAGCCTTATTAGTGCAATGCCGGTATCAAACTCATGTCGGTTTCAACTCTATGGTTCGGACGCAAGTATGAAGTAAATATAAAAATGCAAATTTGCTTCCACAAGATTCCAAACTGGCTAGAAAATGTAGATGAAGAACTATAATTGAGATACGCCGGGAAATACCTCGGCGGTTGTGGGTCGAGCAGAGACATTTTTCGTCGGAAAACAGTCGAAAATAAAATCTAATCAAATTCGGAAGCTTTCGCAATCTACAGACTATTCCTCGAAAGGAAATATCACGAAAATCCATCCGCGAAGCTATCTCGCCGAGTGAACCACTCGAAAACGACCGGAAACGCGCTCCGTGTTTGTTCCACGGACAGTCTGCTCGAAGCGAGGCACACACCGTTGTGTCTCGAGTCTGAACATCGGAGAATGTAGTCCCACCTCGAATTGGATCGATGTACCAAGATTGGTAACCCGGTTAACCCGCAACACTGCGAGTTATCACAATTTTTCGTCTCTCAGAGATGCATCGATCTCCGACCGAGACCCTAAAAGTCAAGTGGACAGAGTAATTTTTCCACGCACGCGTCGGTCTATTGCTACCCAAGAAATTGCTATTTTGGGTGACGATGTAGGTCCAGGAGTTGCCCAAGCGTTTGATCGGTTCAAATTGACTCGAACAAATTGCTATTCTGGGTCAAGATAGATCCAGGTCCCAAGGGTTAACCGGGCGTTTGATCGGTTAGAGAATGAGAGAGAGAGAGAGAGAGAGAGGGAGAGAGAGAGAGAGAAAGGGAAAAAGAGATAGGTAGATAGAGGGAGAGAATAGGATTCTCTGGGTGAGATTGGGGGCCCAGGTTGGATCGAACGAGACAAGTCGGTCCTCGGAGGACGCCTACTTGTAAGGCTAAGTAATCCTTTCTTTACTTAACCTTGCAACCCTCGATTTTCCAGTACCGTTTAAAGGGCCGCCACGCTACAACCCGAAACGACGGTCGGTGGCGTTCGCCGGCACCTCGACGATGACGACGAGCTGCTCGGCCAGTAACTTGGGCACGCTGACCAGGATACCGTCCGCGGAGCAACAGCACGGCTCCTCGTTGGTCGGAGTCGGCGGGGTCGGGTCTGCCGGCGGCAGCCTGACCAGAACGATCTCGGTGGAGCAGTACACGACGACCGGCGTCAGCGCGGTCACGAGAGTACCGTCCGCGGAGCAATACGCGGCCGGCACCTTGACCAGAGTACCGTCCACGGAACAACAGTATCCATCCACCGGCGCCCTGAACAGAGTACCGTCCGGCGAGCAATACGCGAGCCCGAGCCCGATTCCGCTCCCGATCGCGACCGCGACCGGCACCCTCGCCAGGATATCCTCCTCGTCCTCGTCTTCATCGTCCTCCTCGTCCTCGTCCTCGTCGTCCTCGTCGGCCGGAGAGCAATACTCCGCGGCGACCGGCACGCTCACCAGAGTACCGTCCACCGAGCAATACCCGACAACCGGTACGCTAACCAGAGTGCCGTCCACCGAGCAGTACCCGAGCAGGACCATTCTGTCCTGCTCCGGCGAGCAGTACGCCGGCACGACCGGTATCGCGAGGTCCGCGAAGGACTCGCACTTAGCCGCCATCGGCCGAGTACCGTCCATCGAAGCGACCCGAACAGAGCTACAGAGAATACCGTCCTCCGAGCAGCACGTACCCGCCAGATCGGCCGACCAGAACGGCCATCGGATCCCGTCGGACTACCAGAGCCCCAATTCCATGAGGGACCCGAACGCGAGGTAAGCATAAACTGTCTTTGCGACACCCTGTCTCTAACGACACTCGGCTCTGCCACCCCGCCGATCGCGACGGCATCGAATACCCTAAATACCGATCAATCTCGCTGGTCTAACCCGTTCAAGGTGCACACCGTGTTCGCTCGACTACCACCTGCCACCTTCTCTCCTAAACGATGAACAGAAAGACATATCCGACGAAGGAGGGACGAGAACAGAATTTTCACGTTTACAATATTTTCTTAAAGAAGACCGTAGTGGACCGTGTCCGGAGTAGTTAGTTCCTTCTTTCTCATTCATCGCGGGCACTTATCGTTTACGAGAGACGTGTTGGCTGGCAGCTGCGGACACCCTGTGCATCGGATCGTTTGACTTTGTCGCGCGCTGTTTGATCCATCTTGCCGAGGATTCCGGGCGAGAGTCGCACCCTCTTCGACTTCGAGTCTCCCCGTGTTCGTCTCGTGCGGCGGCTAGGCCCATCGGAGGCACCAAGACGCAACCGACACTGGATTCGCAGAAAAACACAGTTTTGGAGAGCCATTAATCTAGTCCGATAGGGATGATGTTGGACCTAGGAGTAGGCATGGTTGCCTATGAGGTCGTTGAAAACGTCCCGAGGGTTAACTGGGACCGATCAAACGACGATTGTACCGCGAGCATACTTCAACGCGACGTTATAGCGATGCAGCAGACGCATTTCCAAAAGATTTTGGGGAACCTTCTCAAAGCTTCTCGAACCAGGACCCGAAAAGTTTCATAGAAATTTTCTCATACAATTTAATTGATTTTCTACGCTTCGCTGTATCATCCGCGCGAAGTATGCTCGATCCATGGCTGCGTCCTCGGTTCTCCGTTGGGTCAGACGCGGCCCGAGCGGACCACGAGACTTTTTGCTCGAGAGGGCGCGCTCGGCTGTCGGCCGGCATCCTCGTTCGACCAGATCGCGGGAAATTCGTCTTCCGTGAAACGTGTTTGGGACCGAACCGGCCGCGTTGAAGCAAAGACAATTTACGCTGATCTCGTGAGATTTGTCGAGCAACCAGGTCGAACACGCGCGGTTCGACGATCTATACGCGTTCCGCTCCCATTTCAAGATTACCAGCCGCCACCGCCGCGGAGAACTATCAGAACATAAGAATGGAGGGGCTGACGAGGCTGCAAGAACACCGGCTCGAGCTGCAACAGCGTCTCGACATGCACAGAACGATGGAGATGCCGCCGTCGCCGTCGCCGAGCAGCAGAAGTCTAGCTCCTTTCAGCTCGGCTAGCTCGAGCCTGTCCGAAGGCAGCAATCAACCGTCCGGCGAAGATTCCGCCAGCATCGTCACAGGTATAGAAAACAGGTTTATTTTCTACAAATTTGCCTCTCTCCTCCGGCAGGAGAGAGAACGAACGAAAGAAAAAAAAATAAGCGAGAAAAAGAGAGAGAGAAAGAGGGAGAGAGAGAGAGAGAGAGAGAGAAGAGACGCTGAAGAGAGCAACGCTCCACCGAAGATCCTCGGGATCTCCTCGCGCGTTTCGTAATCGCGGAGGACGAAATTGACGGATAATGAGAGAGAGAGGGAGAGAGAGAGCAACAGAGAGAAAGAGTATTTGCGTGTTTGGCATGAGACTCGTACGTCGAAACCATCACCATCAGAAACTATACGCGGGAGAAGCCAGGCCAACCTTCGCGCGAACCTTCGCGGCCTCTTACCGATATCCGCTATCATATCCGTAGCTGTCTTAGCGGATGCAACATCAGCAACCTAGAACCAGTTCTCCCGGCCGAATCTCGGAGACGGCGGGCACCTATTCCATTGTTTTCCGTTGCTTCGTTAGCGTTAGGGTGTAGCCTTTTGCCCCGTTGAGAATCTAGCGTTGCATGACGTTCATCGCTCTAAGACGATACAAAAGTCCGCAATCCTCGCAATAACGCGTGCAGACGCGACGGCGATACACCTGTCTCAGGCCTGCGTTCCGTGAATTTCTAGACAAGAGTCTCGGCGACACAGCCTCCGACGTGATCAGCGACAGTTCCGGCGTCGGAACCTCGCAGTCCGACACGACCAACTCGCTCTCGATCCCCGGGACCACCGTCGTTTGCGTCGAGAGCTACAACAGCGGGATCCTGGGCCACCTGAGCATCAATCAAGGGGACATCCTCGAAGGTACTGCGATCCGAACGATCGATCCGTCCGACGCGACGCGACGCGGCGCTCCTCCGCTTCCCACCGTCCCTGACAGAAAGTGTTCGATTCTCTTTGTTCCACGTTATGGCACACGTTGTTCGGAAACCTTTTAGCTATCAAGGAAAACAACGCGTTAACCGGATGAACAGCTGTTTGTGTCGGTAGGTATTAGCAGGGTATCGAAGCGAAACGATTCGGTGAAGCGATTCACAACGAGCGAAACGGTACTCTGTAGTGTTCGCAAGACGGAGCTGTTCAGAAAATCTGGGACAGAGACCGTGACAACAAAGGGAGTATACGAAAAATCACTGTACCGTCCACTGGAATGCGAACATGTGAACGTTGTAAGAGTTTCTGGAAAAGCTTCCTCGAAAGGTGATCGCTTGCCCCTCATTGTTCTGTAAATGTAACACGAGTAAGCGTTCGTTCTCATTCATCTCATAGCGTTTATGTGAGCACAACGATTATCATTCTACATCATTCGCTACGTGTTTGTCCAAAACGCACAGGCTCCGATTCGATCGGAAACTTTCTTGCCAGGGTCGGTGTTGAGTTTGAGCGCAGCGCCCCTCGGTTCTCCTCGTGTTTCTGTTCCGTAGGCACGGTCCCCGGTGTTAAATGTTCTGTGATGGCGACGGTGTCGTCTCTCTTTCTTGATTTTGAACAGTGACGGGCGCCACCGACTGCGGCCTGCTCGAGGGTGTCCTCCGGGGACAGGGCACGGGCCTGTTCCCCGCGCACTGCGTGCAGGAAGTCAGGCTGCGACACACCAACATCCCGTTGGGCCCGCAGCCGGCCAGCCAAGGACGGAACAGGGTGCTGGGCCGCAGAGAGTCGCAGCATAAGTATTTCGCGACCGCTCCCAGGCTGAAGAAACCGTAAGTTCAGAAATCTTCGATAACGCTCAATTTGTTTGAAATATTCACCGAAACGCTGCCCATCGGATCGAAAAGATGATATATATACTGCCAAAAAATACAAATGCAGACTAAATGATTCACAGTCGATGCAGGCTGAAGCTACCTAACGTTTGTACCAAAATATATTCCTTGCTTTCATGTCTCGAGGACGAAGTTAAATGCTTCAGTGGAGCTCGGACAATGCCATAAAAATATTTGTTTTAATTATTCAAGATCGCGGATAGAGGAAATTTGTAAGATTTGAAGTATGAAAGTAAAACACGTTTAATCTTTTGCACTCGAGTGGAGACTCTGAGGCGTCGCTGAAAGTTGCTATACTATTTTCAAAAGAATTTTCACGTTATTCTCAATTTGTCTGCATTCGATAAATTGTCAGATGACAGAGAAGTCTTCTATAAGCGTACGCATACAATTTCATATGTACCAAATAAAAACAGCATACCAAACGGAAATAGCGTAGGTTGAAACAAACGTCTTCGTATTAGAATTAAAATAGTCTCGAGTACAAAGGCTTAATCACGAGTGAGATTTCTAGTAAGCATACTATGATCCTGCAATATTATCGTATGTTTCAATCTTTCACGTTATCTCTGTCCGAAACCTCGATCGACCTTGAATAATTATGTTCACTGAATTCCTAATAAAAAGGATCATCGTCATAGGTGCTTGAAAAAGGATGGTCTCCTTTAATAAAACGAAGGTGTCACCTCGATATCTCTAAGTCTTTGCGTACAGCATTTTTCAAAGTACAGTAATGTCTCTCTAATTGACGCTCAGATTGTGCACAAAAATGGACTATTTGGGAAGAGGAAATACCATTATTCGAGCCTTGCAACTCGCTTTTATAGTTGTTGACAATTGATAACCATAAAAAAACGAGCCACGAGGCTCGAACAATCGTATCTCCTTTTCCAAAATTGTCCATTTTTGTGGACAATCTGAGCGTCGATTAGAGAGACATTACTGTATTGACCCGAACAATGTATCCTGATCTTTTGTTATGTACACGATCGGATTGCATGCTTGCTGCTACTGACATAAGACATTTAGTCGCGATGTCGTTAATTTTGACGACATTCGCTTGCAAAGAGCTAGAAGGTATAACGTGAAAATAAATTGATTCGAGCCATTCGACATTGAGAGAGAAGACATTTAACGTATCTTTAAAACCAACAGAGATACTGGAGATGGGACCGTTAGGTGCCTCGCCCTGTATGCAAACTCCGGCCGTAATCCCTTCGATTTCGTATTTGTTTTACGGCTTCGAGCTCGCCGTCGGGGAATCGTTACGCGATGCGTCCGTGACAGTCGTAACCGTAGAAATTTCAACCTAATCGAGCGACTGCTAATTTCCTGGAGCATCGTTGCCCCGAGTGGTAACGGAAAGGATGCGCGGCCGTTTATGCGCCGCGGCGGTGTAACACCGTTATTCAATTTAACGACGCGATTCCAGAGTGACGTCGGAGCCTCGCACCGTGGTACTGCACCGCTCGAGAAAAGGATTCGGGTTCGTGCTGCGAGGTGCCAAGGCGACCTCGCCTTTGATGGAGCTGACGCCGTCGGCCAGGTACCCCGCCTTACAGTACCTGGACGACGTCGATCAAGGAGGAGTGGCCGATCTGGCTGGTCTCCGGAAAGGAGACTTCCTCATTCAGGTACGCCAGCTCGATCCTCTCTTCTTCCAATTTAGCAACAAACACGATATAGAATCGCGCGACTATTTTTATTCCTGTCGCAGATCAACGGCGAGGACGTGACAACGGCTTCCCACGAGCACGTGGTCGATCTGATCCGAAAGTCCGGCGAGCTGGTCAGGATGACCGTGGTCTCGCCGGTGATCAGCCTACCGAATTCGCAATCGGCAGCCATTTTGCCAACTAGTCAACCCATTCAAAGACAGTACGCGACTCTGCCGCGTAAGGGTAACAACAACGTGGTGATCGGCGGCACCCTCGGCAGATCACCCGCACCCATGCCTCCCCGAAGAGATCCGAAGACAACCTTGAGCGTTGGACGGGCGCGAGCTAGATCGATGGTCGCGGGTTTAGGTACGAAGCGCACCTACTCTCGATTCAAAAAATCGACGTTGTTCACAGGATTCCAATGTGACTGTCACGAGTGCGTTAGGCTAACTTTTGGTAGCTGAATTGTCGGCCCGCGAAACATTTAGCGTTCTTTGCTGTTACGTTCGATGGTAGTATAGTCCTCTTTGTATCTGTTTGAATCTGAGGATCTTGAGTCTACGTCCATGAAAATTTGATACCGATAAAAATCGTCAAATTCTAATAGATATGGAGGGGGTCACTCGATGTAGCATCAAAAGAGGAAAAAGGGACAGTAACAGTCTTCCAAATCCCAGCGACCAAGCAATGCAGTAAATTTTCTCCAAATTGTCACTCAGTTTGTAAAGAGAACTACAATTTGGGAGAAGGATTATTCGAGCCTCGAGGCTCATTTTTATAGTTGTTGACAATCGGCGACTATGAAAACGAGCCGCGAGCCTCCAATAATCGTATCTCCGCCTCCCAAATTGTCTATTTCTGTTTACATGCCGAGGGACAATTGGAGAGAATTTACGTAGGGTTGAACCCTTATAGTACCGAACAATGATATATCCTTGCTGACTGCATCTGAGAAAAACTGATTCCTTAATATTTCTAACAAATTAAACTTTTATTTCTTATTGTGCTCAGTTATGAATTTTGAGACCTTACCAAATTACTTGGTACTTGAGACCTTACTTACAAATAAAACAGTTCTGTGCGATACTATAATAAAAGGAAGTACTATAATAAAAATAAAATGTCTGCTCATCCTGTGATACGATTGCGTGCAAACGGGATTTCGTTGAAGCCGAATTGTTGTGACTGCAGAGGGCGGCGGCGAGAGGGACGACCGAGACGAGATCACGTCGACCGGGGCGAAGTCGAGCAGCGCGGAGTCGATACACCTTCCTCAGCAGCCGTCGACCGGGCCGAACACCGGTCAGAACACGCCTGTGCAGCCTAGAACGGCCAGCATCCGGTCACGGCCGACCTCCAGCAGGATCACTGCCGCGGAACTGGAGGTACCGAGAGAGAGGCACGAAGCACGGATCGGTTGCTCGATCGTGAACCACGCGCTTCTTGTTCCTCCTTTGAATGGCAACTGCACGAACGACACACACACCGAGGCTTCAAGCTTTGTCCTTACTTTCTTCCAGGAACTATTTCAGCGGCAGCAAGGTAGCGCCAGTGGTCAGTACAGCTCGTCCATGATGAGCTCTCACTTTCAGACTGGTCAAGCTACCAAGTCGCATCCATCCTCGCCTGCTAAGACCGGCAGGGTATACGCGAGCGTAGCGGAAATGAAACGCAAAGGCAAAGTAAGAGCACAAGAAAACACTCACGTTCACAATCACATGTACACCCATGCTCGAGATGCTCGATCATCTACGTGTACCCCTACTTCTCTTATCTCCGTCTTTTGATCTGCCTGCAATTAGATGATATACGGCGACCCGGTCGCCACCGTATCCGCAGGATTCGAGCGTAGATTGGTGTGATAGCTGTAGAGTTTGGGCCAACTTTACCGATTACTTTTTCTATTTTTTTTTTTTGTTGGTTTTACTCATTATTTCTCTGGGTAGACTGTGGCTATTTGGGTCGGGCTTCCCTCGCTCGGCGCTTCTGTCGATTATCCACCTTTGGCCTGGTTCGATATTATTATCGATAACCGTCCTCGAGAGTTCTACCGAGTTTTCCAGCGGTAACTGTGCTGCGGACATTTATGCGATTTCGCGTGACACCGTGGACGATCATCGAAGAGAGACCCTTCGATTCGGACGCTTGATCTCGTCCGCGAGCCATCCGCGAATTATTTGGCTACATTGAAAAATGAATCGCTAAGAGAAAAGGATACTTTTTTGTTTTACTTTACTACCTCTTAATACGTCACCCTAAAAATGTTATTCTTTAGAAAATGTTGAACGAAGAGCTTGCGACGAAACTCGTGCGGTCCCCGTAATTTCACGACGAAAGGAACCCGGTTGAAAAATTTGTTTTCGAATTAACGTTTTCGAATGTGATCGAAGCGTTGTGAAGAAGCATAAAGATCCGCGGGTCTAACAATGAATATAGCTCCGCGACGATGCATGCTCCGAGGTGACGATGGCTGTTTTCACGCATGTGTGTTGTAGTTTTCTCGCAAGCCGGCACGAGTGTACGGCAAGGGGCGTTCCTGGTACGAGAGAGACAACGAGGACGACTTATATTACTGATCGAAAATACTTTGTTTCTAGCGCGTCCGTGACTTGCATGATTCCAGGTGACTAAGTCATTTGCTAATGAAAATCCGATGCTCGAAAGGGCATCGGGTATCTCACCTTCGGCTTTATGAACACGCCTCGCAGAAACTAACGATGTGTATTCGTGTAACGAACAATCAAATTACTTTGCTTTCGCTTTTTTTTGCGTGACCGTGCCTGTTTCCCACCCGCACCCGCACCCTCGTCTTGCAATCTCACGGGCATTTCGGGTCTTGCACCTGGCCGTTCGTCTTCTCGAAAGCTGGAATACTCCAAAGCTTTCGTCTTAGGGGCCGTGTAACGTAGATTCCTACGCCTGCTGCGGCTCAAGGGCGAATCTACACCTGGAAGGATCGAGCCACCCACTTCGTTCGATGTATTTCTTAAGAACATAAGAATTAGAAATAAGCCTTTCCAATTTTTTTTCTCAAAATATTTGGCTGCTCTTCGAACAAACAGCACGTCCGATGTTCGTTCGTGTATCAAATCGCGTTTCGGCCCTTCCCGGTGTGTACAGCCCTTTAAAATAACGGGACTCCATTCTCTTTCAACGAGTCCCAGTCTTTCGTAATTACACGCGGTTTAGAAGAATGTATTTCTAGACATTAATGCGAGCGTTGGTATTGGTACGTGATGGTGAATCAGAATGTGTTACTACACGTACACCGTCATAGTTGTTTTACAAGCCTACCTGAACCGTGTCGGCGTCGAGGTGTTCGGTTGAGTCACGAATAACTTCCGCTTTCCATTTTCAATTAATGTCGGTCGAAGATGCCGCGTTTTTCTATGAACCTACCGTATTATCTATGTATATTGCTACGCGTCGAAAAGCTGTAGAAATGAACTGAAATATTTAATTAGTTCTTCTCAATCGCCATCGTTTGTGACTCAATCGCCCGGCCATCGTTCTGTCGAGTACCGTCAAAGTTGATTAACACGTTCACTGCCGGTGCTACTAATATAATCGACATTAGTATTTCGTCAAGTGTAACGACGATTCAATTTTAACGTGCAGCAGATTTTTCGATTTTTTTTTTTTAGAGATGACGATTATTCGGCAGCGAACGAGTTAACAGTTAACAGTACCTTTTCGTTCTTCTATAAAGACCTAGGTAAAGGGATGATAGCGTTCAAGATAGTTCGCTTTTTTCTACCGCTTCTCGTATCGATCGTCGTGTACAATGGTAGTGCTATGCGTCGAGCTGTTGTCTTCGTGAACGCTGACCGTCACGCTGGCCCGGTGCAATCCTATTCAACCGACGGTCTATTTCCAGTCAAACTCGAGAGTACGTTTCTTCGGGGGATTGGGCGGCGGTTCCGACCTTCACAGAGATTTCCATAGCACTCCGGACCTGAACGTGCAGGTGCAGTCGTCCATACTGGCTCCGAAGGGGCACAGGAGCCAGGAGGACGTGAACGCGATGAACGGCAGAAACGGACTTCCACCTCCGAACCATCCTCCGCCACCACCGCCGGTTGGCCAGGTCGTTAAGGTGAACGTGGGCGCGAACGTGCCGGACGTTGTTACGCCGGCTTCAGTCTACGACAACATGGCCCACATACAGCAAGTCAAAGGTACGTGCGCTCCACACGCGAATACTGCTTCATTTAGGTCGTGTCAATGTTTCTTTGTTGTCTACTTTCGTCCTCCCTTCGGTTCCCTGTCTCTATCCTTTATCGCTCTCCTCAGCGTTTTGCTTTCCCGAGCTCCTTTCTTTCACGACCTTCACCGCACTCCTCTCGTACCTCGTTCTTTCATTGCAATGCATGATCTAAACTTTCTTCTTTCTTTCCAATACCGTTTTCTCCTCGCTTCGTTCCCACATCCGAATATAGCAATCGTGCGCCATTCTTCCGACCTCGTTCTTCATTCCGAACACCTTAGATCAACACTGAATCTACCGAGCACTAGAGACGTTTGACACTTCGTGAAAATTACATGCCTGAATTCCCTTAGGCATCTTGCTATTTTTATCATAACGTACGTTCGAATTACGATATTTATTAATTTATTATTTTAAACTTAACCCTTTGCACTCGAAGCCATTTTAACCGTAAATCTAAATTAATATTTCCGACTTATGGTATTTCCATTTTATGCGACAAAGTGCATTTTTTGCATACGAAATCGAGTCTTGTGACTCGTACAACAGTTAGACTTTTAACAATTTTTTACACCTAAACTTTGATAATATAAAAATTATCTTGGAACGCGATGTAACAGTTTTACTGGTGCCTCAGAGTCACTACTCGAGTGCAAAGGTTTAAATTTATTATTTCACAAATCGTTTTAAAAGAAGATACGTTGATCGGGTTATTCCGACCGGCGCGGTAGGTTCAGCGTCGAACAATACCCCGGTTAATTCGTCTGCTTAATTCGTCACCGATAAAACTGGCAATCGCCGTTTCCAGAGCTGGCAGCGGCGACGGCGGACGGTGGGTACGGAGTGATGTCGAGCTTCCGGCCGTCGAACAGCGCGAAGCTGTACGCCTCGCCGGAGGACATGAAGACGGTGGGCTACCGTTCGCGCAGCCTTCCGGCTCACACGACCCGGTGCCACGTGAGGAAGTCGCACAGCCTGCGCACCCCGAACAACACTACGTTCAAGCCGCTGAACAACCAGCAGGCGGCGAACAACCAGGTAGCGAGCAACAACCAGGTGAACAGCAGCCAGTCGGCGAACAACCAGTACGCGCAGCCGTTGAAGACGAACCGAAGCCACAGCACGGCCGGGATCCGGGAGCGGAAGAAGAAGGGCGTGGCGACGAGCGCCTCGATCACGAACCTGTCGTCGCTCTCGAACAACGGCACCGGGACGAACGTGCCGGCCGCAGCGCCGCCGATCCCGGAGCCGGACTACAGCCTGTCGGAGTCGGAGAACGACGAGGGCGAGGAGGAGACCGACGACGACGGCGAGTCGGAGATCGCGAAGGAGCTGGAGAAGGCCGCGGCGAGGGAGAAGCTGGAGTCGACCAGGGAGACGTCGGGCAACTCGAACACGTCGGGCTCGAGCTCGTCGGGCAGCAGCTCGCTGCCGCACTCGTTCAGCGTCGACGAGATCCAGAAGGTTCGGACGCAGCTGAAGTCGTCCAAGAGTCATCCGAACGACTTCTTGCTGCAGCAGACCGGATCGCTGGCCGAGGACGGCGACAACAGTTCCAGCGGCGTCAGCTCCGACCAAGATGTCCCCGTGGGTCCTCCGACGGGCTTCGACGACACGGCGGCGAGGAATCTGGCGAACGAGACCCAACAGCACCCGACCACGGTGCTGACGGTCACCGGCTCCGACAAGGAGCCGAATCCGAAGAGGACCAGCTACGGCGGCAGCGGACTGCTGACCAGACACGCGGTCAGCCTCGCCCAGCTGCCGCCCCCGATCGAAGCGGACGCCGAGGAGCAGAGCAACGACTTGTTCGTGCCGCCCCCGCCCGAGTTCAACGCCGGCACCTCCGCCGGAAACGCGGACGAGATCGTGTTCGCGCCGCCGCCGCAGTTCTGCGACAACAAACAGCAGTCGCCGCAACCGCCGCAACAGCAACAGCAACAGCAGAATCGCGTTAAGATCATCGGAGCGATACCGAAAGTTACCAACAGCCAGGTGAAGGCTTCCGGCGGNTCCGACCTCGTTCTTCATTCCGAACACCTTAGATCAACACTGAATCTACCGAGCACTAGAGACGTTTGACACTTCGTGAAAATTACATGCCTGAATTCCCTTAGGCATCTTGCTATTTTTATCATAACGTACGTTCGAATTACGATATTTATTAATTTATTATTTTAAACTTAACCCTTTGCACTCGAAGCCATTTTAACCGTAAATCTAAATTAATATTTCCGACTTATGGTATTTCCATTTTATGCGACAAAGTGCATTTTTTGCATACGAAATCGAGTCTTGTGACTCGTACAACAGTTAGACTTTTAACAATTTTTTACACCTAAACTTTGATAATATAAAAATTATCTTGGAACGCGATGTAACAGTTTTACTGGTGCCTCAGAGTCACTACTCGAGTGCAAAGGTTTAAATTTATTATTTCACAAATCGTTTTAAAAGAAGATACGTTGATCGGGTTATTCCGACCGGCGCGGTAGGTTCAGCGTCGAACAATACCCCGGTTAATTCGTCTGCTTAATTCGTCACCGATAAAACTGGCAATCGCCGTTTCCAGAGCTGGCAGCGGCGACGGCGGACGGTGGGTACGGAGTGATGTCGAGCTTCCGGCCGTCGAACAGCGCGAAGCTGTACGCCTCGCCGGAGGACATGAAGACGGTGGGCTACCGTTCGCGCAGCCTTCCGGCTCACACGACCCGGTGCCACGTGAGGAAGTCGCACAGCCTGCGCACCCCGAACAACACTACGTTCAAGCCGCTGAACAACCAGCAGGCGGCGAACAACCAGGTAGCGAGCAACAACCAGGTGAACAGCAGCCAGTCGGCGAACAACCAGTACGCGCAGCCGTTGAAGACGAACCGAAGCCACAGCACGGCCGGGATCCGGGAGCGGAAGAAGAAGGGCGTGGCGACGAGCGCCTCGATCACGAACCTGTCGTCGCTCTCGAACAACGGCACCGGGACGAACGTGCCGGCCGCAGCGCCGCCGATCCCGGAGCCGGACTACAGCCTGTCGGAGTCGGAGAACGACGAGGGCGAGGAGGAGACCGACGACGACGGCGAGTCGGAGATCGCGAAGGAGCTGGAGAAGGCCGCGGCGAGGGAGAAGCTGGAGTCGACCAGGGAGACGTCGGGCAACTCGAACACGTCGGGCTCGAGCTCGTCGGGCAGCAGCTCGCTGCCGCACTCGTTCAGCGTCGACGAGATCCAGAAGGTTCGGACGCAGCTGAAGTCGTCCAAGAGTCATCCGAACGACTTCTTGCTGCAGCAGACCGGATCGCTGGCCGAGGACGGCGACAACAGTTCCAGCGGCGTCAGCTCCGACCAAGATGTCCCCGTGGGTCCTCCGACGGGCTTCGACGACACGGCGGCGAGGAATCTGGCGAACGAGACCCAACAGCACCCGACCACGGTGCTGACGGTCACCGGCTCCGACAAGGAGCCGAATCCGAAGAGGACCAGCTACGGCGGCAGCGGACTGCTGACCAGACACGCGGTCAGCCTCGCCCAGCTGCCGCCCCCGATCGAAGCGGACGCCGAGGAGCAGAGCAACGACTTGTTCGTGCCGCCCCCGCCCGAGTTCAACGCCGGCACCTCCGCCGGAAACGCGGACGAGATCGTGTTCGCGCCGCCGCCGCAGTTCTGCGACAACAAACAGCAGTCGCCGCAACCGCCGCAACAGCAACAGCAACAGCAGAATCGCGTTAAGATCATCGGAGCGATACCGAAAGTTACCAACAGCCAGGTGAAGGCTTCCGGCGGACGGTTGCACAACCAGTGAACGATCCCGGCCGGCCGACTGTCGCCGAGACACACGGTGGTTCGAAGCGCGTGATCGTGCACCACGATCGCCAGAGTCAATTTAATCTCTCCGTATTTAACCCCCTCCTCCTCCAGGATCGACGCATCGCCCGGACTACGTACGGTCGCGTCTTCCTCCGTACGGTCGCGGCCGAGATTGTTCCGCTAGCGACGACCACGACGGGAACGCGTCGCAAGGAACCTGCACAGTGCATCCGGATTATTCCCCGATTCAACCGGCATCTTTCTTCTCCGGATGCAACCTTGAAGATCTTGGATAGTCTTAGACAACGCCTGGGAATATTGCCTCCGCCGGGATATTACTTAAAATCTCCGTAACATCGTTCTGGATCGAGACAACCTTTTAGTAAAAAGTTGACTAAAACGCAAAACTGCGAAATGTGTCGTCAGTCCTCGGATGACGGGTCCATTTTGTCCATGAACGCAGCTCCTGGTTGCTAATTCAAAACTACCTTCGGTTCGATCTGGTTTACGCGAAGTCTACGTTTTTACAAAAGTTGATGAACAACTGCCTAAAAGGAGCTAAGAATCGCCATTATCGTCCGCCATCCGAGGATTGGCAGAGAGGGTAGCATTATGTTTGCGCAAACTTGACCAAACGATAAGGCGAAAATCATAGCGTCGACACGCGGCCGAAGTAAATTCTGTTCGGGAGATTTTCCGATGCACTGTGCACGCGCACACTCACACGTACACACCATACACACACGCAAGGCACACTCATAGACACACGCATACGTAGACAGGACACGCGGTACAGACACACAGGACTTTTGCAATCAATTTTTCACCGATAAAACGATAAAGCGTTCCCGTTTAGACCGCCGAAGGTGTTTTGTAAGGCGCGAAAACGCGCGACTTATCCGCGCGCGAATCGAGCGGCCGGATGCTCGCGTCGTTCGGTCGCAGGTCCGCGGTAGTGGAGCGTAATTATAACACTGTTCAGCAAATTTGAACTTTTTCTTTTGTGCTTCGATAATCAACGGGCGATTCTTGTAGGTTCTCTCACATGCGAGCCCGTTTTTCTCTAGAATCTCCAGCTTTATAAATTTGGTCCGCTTAAACAGTGAAAGTTCTACGAAAGCTTCCTGCGCAGCAGGATTTTGTAAATCTTGCTGCATGCGACTGTGATCCTCGAACTAAGATTATAAACATTCGAATATGTTTAAATCACGAGCTACATTTAATTTCGAAGCGACAGTCGAGGTTTCAGCTTTTAGAATTCTTTGCTCTTGGACCGTAATAAAGTATTATTTTATTTCTTTTGCTCAACGTTTCTATGAATTGTTTTCAATGCAACGATACACCTTCGAAGGAGAACAGTTTTCATCGCATATGGAAATCGACAAGACTCGCCTGTCGGTCGTCGGACCGCAAGGTAGGCGTTGGACAGTGTATTCAGCGAGTTTTTACCGTAAAACGTAGTAGAATACGAACCGCGCGAGGCCGCAGAGCACGATTAGTCGAAGAAGAAGAAGCCTCCCGGCAGCCGTCTCGTGGATTGGCCTAAGGGGTTGATCGGGAGGGGGATCCATAAGCGGCTCCGTAGCTCCTAATTAGAGAGAAGAGGTGTGAAAGTGCGATGTTCTTGTGCGTGCGCCGGGAACCCGGCTAGCGAGTGTGTAGCGCGTACCGGGTTTGTTTTTTCATGTTTCTATCGAGATACAGACGCGTGTTTAATACTTTTACACGTAACGATCCTTCCACCATCCCGAGAAGCCATCCGAAGAGTTTCCCCACAGCGGAGCAGATCACTGTTAACAGTTTGTCGACGTCTCCGATGCGCGCATCGAGATACCAAAACGCGATCGGAAGATCCACAGTTTGATCCTGCGACACGTTCCGTGCGTGTTCGAGAAATTCTGCAAAAGTTTGGCGAGATGATTTCCGGACGTGCCGAAGAACTTGAATAATTGTGATTATGTTGGAATGTGATTAAAGAATTTCGTCGATTTGGTATTTCGGGAATGCGACTCGATGCGAATCGAAGGTGCCGAGTGTCCCGATCGATTTCCGTTCGCCAGCAAAACGCGCGTGGTTCTGTTCGTTTCTCTCTCTCTCTCTCTCTCTCTCTCTGTCTCTCTCTATCTCTTTCTAGCTCTATCTCTCGTGTCTAGACACTGCTCAAGAGCCTAATTACAAAGTTCTACTCGCAAAGTCATTAGAGATTGTTTCTAGTTTGTAATAACGAGTAAATAGCGCAACGACGAGTATGAATTTATCACTAAGCTCGTAATCGCGTTAATAGAGACGCACTGTACTACTACGTTAACGCACCAACATTATTCAGCTTGTAAGATAGAAATCGTATTCCTTCCATTTCGAGAATCGGGCTCCCGGGAGCCGCGAGACGCCCGCGCGATTCTCGCGAACGAACGCGACCGATTGCCGCGCGATCACGCGATTAATCAATCGCCGTCGCGTCCCGCCGCGACGCGGGGCCGCAAACACGCGCGTCCGTTCGCAACGATTTCGCGACCGCGAGAAGAAAAATTACAGATTCGTTTCCTGTCCCCTCCGCCCTTCCCGCCCGCAGTTCACCGGTACCGTGTTGATTTAATTCCTTTTGTATATAGTGTGACGTCGCGTCGACGATTTCTCTCTCGTGGACAAACGTCGACGACCGATCGAACGACGATGGACGGTCTCGCGACTCTCGGCGACAGTGCTACATACTGTATATACCGGAACACAACATTGCTATGTATTTGATTAATCTATAACGATGGGAACGATTTACTGTCGTCATCACATTTACGATCACCGCGATAGATTCTAAGCGATTCATCCATTTACGAAAAATAATTGAGAGAACACGACGTCCTTCCTGATTATTGTTTCTAAGCCTTTTCAAGTTTAAACGAACCGGCAAAACAGACAAGAGAACAAAAAAGATTAATGCATATTCATATACAGACACACAGCGAAGTAACGATAATTATATGCGACCGCCGCCGGTCGCACGCCCGTCAACGAGCCGCGCGATCAGGGGTGAATAGTTTCCGAGTCGAGGGGAATCATATAAAGATAAGTATTGAATGTTCCTTAGATATTTTATTGTTTGTTTTACGATCGGTAGAACGCGGAGGATCGCCGCCGACGCGTGTGTATATCGGTTTCAAAGTAAGAAAGAAGAGAGGAACCACGGTGGAAGATGTGGAGAACGCTGGAGATGTGTAGTAGACTGCGATGGTTTAGAAGATGACGACGACGACGACGACGACGACGACGAAAGAGAACTTTGACGATCGACTGGTTGATTCGGGTCAGTAAAGCAATATTGTACGCATTACAACGGCTCGTGTAATAATAAACCGTTTCAGAATAGAATTCTATCTTTGTTTGCGATCTCGACGAACGGTCTCTCTATCTTGTATTGTCGCCAGATTATTATGCTGATTTACGCGTGCACGTTTCTTCCACGACGGAATGTGTTGCGCGTTATAGTTGCACTGTGCCGCACACAGAGTACCATAGGCGAGCGAGGAAAACGAGCGACGATACACCTATAGTTAAACTACATTCCTGCCAAAACTAATTATAGTAGCGTGTTAATGTATCAAAATTTGATGGGACAGCCGACGCTTGCACGCGTTTCAGATGAAAAACCGTTCCGTACACGCTCCGTAAACATCCGATCTCGATCTCTTAACAATCTATTTCTTCTCCACCGCTTTACTGAGTACTCGAAAATCCGACCGATCCGCGGAGCGGCCCAAACTACACGACGCTCGACCGAGTACTTCGACGACGTTTCGCTGAAATAAACGAACAGAAAACGCGGAACAACGTTTCCCGTTCGGATCTTAACTCTGTCCTTTGGATTCTTTTTGCCGAGTCCAGAATGGACGCTGTCCGACAGCTGTTTTACTTCCCGGTAATCAATGTTCTTGTAGATCTTGAAATTTACAGGAGTCGCTGATTATTTGAGTTCGATTTCTTTGAGAACCGCATTCGTTAAGGACGAAGATCCGAACGAACGGCAACGGCGGTTCGCATTGTTCGTTTATCAGTTGCCTCGTGTGCTTTGGGACGGCCCGCGTTGCGCGAATCTCAAAGACTTCGAAGCATTGTTCGACAAATAGTCCGATCTTGCGGCCGAGGAACGTTTGTCTCGGTTGAGAACGAGATAGTAGAATGTTTTATACCATATAGCTGGCTCCAAAAGAAACAAGTTTCGCGTAGCTGCACTTGCATTAATGATTTATTCCGGAACGAGGGCGCTATGCGTGACGTTCGCGACCGCAGAATGTAGAAGATTTCAAGTACCGGACGGAAACCGAGTGAATTTATAAAGTTAACACGATGGATAGCTTTGAATAAACCATTCGTTATCCAGATACAACGAATACGTTGCAACACTTTGAATTCTGGCTTTCGGTGTAGCAGACTTCTCTCGATTCTACGTTGTCGTGTAGAACAAATAATTCCTGCATTTTCTCTTTTTTCGTTTATTTATTTCCAAAAAGAGTTACAACCCGTCCCAGTCCCTTGAGTCGCTGTATTACGCGCGTTCACCACCATGTCAAAATGGTACACATCGTTGTTCGGAGGCGTCAAATGTAACTCATTGTCACTCGGATTGAACCTTTGAAATTTCAGGTTTAATTTTTGTTTTTCTTTTCTTTTTTTTTTTGTTTCGTTATTCTAAAACCTTGTACACATACACATACATACACACGTACGCATACATACATACATACATACATAGACATACACACGTTTTAGTCATCGCTCGACGTTCAACGCATCTCCTTTCATTCTTAGTTACTATTATAGTATCATCATCCTGCGATTATCGTTAGTACCTTTTGTACTATAATTACTGTATCACGAGTTGCAAGATACGTGCAATTTTTCGACGATAAATAATAACCGATCATGTTCAAATAACTACGGCATAATTTACTCTACACAATTTGTAGTCCTTCCTTATCGTTTCAGGTTACATAGATCTATTTCAAATGGCATTCAGTATAGCGCAAACAACGTTTTTTGAGCTTTAATTTAGACTCTTCGAAGTTCTAAAATACCCACAATAAAGCATGGAAGAATATTTTATTTAAACATCTTCATTTGAGCATTCGCTTGCTGTGCAATCAATCGCTATCTTCTAATTTCGATTGTGCTATTGCAATTATTTTTTAATCGCAATCAATCTATCATGAAGTTTATTCTTTCCGCTTCTGTTTGAGCCATTAAAAGTTCGACAATTTCAACGGGAATGTATTGAAATATTATTTTTTATTGAAACCAAATTATTTTAAGTTTTGCGATAGTGCCAATTCGTGTGTTGACAAAACAACCAAACTGTTAGTCAAATTTATCGACAGAGAAAATATTGTCAAAAACCAGATGACGCAACTATATTATTCTAAATAAAATTTATAATTTTACACAGTCTAGCTCACACAATAATGACGATACAGACGAGGTATAAAAGACGACTTGACACCCAATGAATTATTTTGTTACCCAAAAATGGGACTTTGATATTTCAGAAATTTAAGCTTCTTAGCGAGAATCGAGTATTTTGTATACTTTATTTGTATTACGACACGTTTTATGATTTGGAAGCTACAAGTTATAAGACGTGCATATTCAAACGATGACAATGGTACTTACTTATATTTTAAACATTTTAATACAAATGCTAGACTCTACTCAAGTCTAGTCCTATTCTATACGGATCCTAAGTCTGTCTATAATCCGTATAGTAAACATTCAGAGTTATCATCTGTGGATAATTCTGGCGAATAGTTTGAGCGTTTGGCCACTACGTATAGTGGCGCTATTCTTAAATTTTCGAGAGCAAATGATTCGTGCCGGAATTTACATGATCCTTTATGAGAATAACGGTAAGAATCATCTGTACTGTATATATGCAATAATAAATAAACTTTTTTGCATAATTTAGATGCAACAGACTCTCCTGAACATTTCTGTACCAACAAAATATTTTGTTTGCCCCTAAATAGACACATTTCACGCTACATTCCGGACATATATTTTCGTCACGAGAAGTTATAATGTAATTGTAGATAAATGTTCAATTATTGATTGAACAAGGCATGGGTTGATGCTGGATGTTTCTTTGAATATTTCTGAACCATCAAAATATTTGTTACTCGTTAAATTTTCCTGATGAAAGAGATTCAAATACGTAAAGAATACTACAGAATGAAACAACCTCGATGTATGTGTTAGTTTTATGTTTATTTCGTTATTAAAGTTTTAGGCATTACAAATTATGGCTAAGCGTAAACGGATATAACAATATTTTAAAACGCAATACTCAGTTCACGTCTTGCTACTTCTTTAATAACACAATATTAATTTTAATTGATAATTTTAATTTACTCTTCTATCTTTAAATCGCGTATAACATATCTTCATAATTCGACGCCATTTATATTCTATATTGTTAATGTATACTTTTTGGTAAGAAACTACGTCACTGATCACATCAAACTTGTTGCATTAGTCTACGTATAACTAGTATCTTTGAAAAATGGTACTAACTAAACAATATATTTGTTCCTTCCTTAAGTAATAAAGGTATCTAATCACCTTAAAACTTGTTCAATTAAATGACCTTCTAAAATAAACATGTCTGTTAAATTTTACAAATTGATTGTACACGTGTGAACCTTTTGCAATTAACGAAACCCGATAAGGGAGAATGCGAAACAATAAAAACCCAAGGAGAGAATAGTGAAAAGAAAGTCAGAAGACTAGTTTCGATGTTTCGAATGAAACTGAAACAAAATAACGATTCATCTCAAACAAGCTTTATGTTAACAACAATATTTATTACATAATAATTGTACGATATAGTAATAACTTCTATGGATTTACAGTACACTGTAGCGCTAAGTCTTAATTATGTATAATATTCAATGGAATGAGTACATGTTGTTAAGACATTCACATTTCAAGCTGGAGGCGCTCAGGACATCGTTTTCAAATTGGATCGAGTACTGCGGGAAAACGCGTTCCATTGTCTGCTGATGTTCGTATCAAGGATAATGCAGCAGCTGGTGCATCATTTCGGAATGTAAGACTTCGATTTTATTATATTTGTAACTATACGTTATATGTATATATATTTTAAGTCGTGGAATCGGGAATAAATTCTCTACACCCCTACAGTAAACAGCGTAAGGTCTACGATAAAAAATGGACAGTTCCCGTGATTCGGTAAGAAAAACGACAAATCAAATCGATCTTCTAGCACTGAATCTTTCATCTGAGAGCCAGAACGACGGTTCAACGGCTAAAACGAGGTGTGCGCTTGAGATATTTCTTACGTTTTCTTTTTTAACGTTACGTTAAGTATGATTAATAAGATGTATATCCTTTCGATCGTTGTTTTATGGTGGTATAATCTGCTGATATTTCGATACGTGTATATCTTTGTGTTGGACCCTTTCACAATAGCAACGTCTTCACGAAGAGTTCGTTATCATCGAGGGGCAAGGACTATGTCAGTTGAAAATCCGTCAACGAATAAATCACGTGGTTACACGTTATTATAAAAAAAAAAGATAACTAAACCTGTGCGACATGCTTCGAGGTTCGTTTAAAAATTCAATTGTCTTCCGGGATAGATACGTGGTTGTACGACTCTAATGAAACTATTAAATTACGTTTATAGCAATAGCGATAGTTATAACAGTTGTAACAATGATGATCTAATATTTGTATAGTCGTTCGTACAACTGACGTTCGTAAGTTATCATCGTCGTTAATAGCGTTTTATGCCGATCGGGGATCACAAATAGCTGGGAAGATGATGCATCAGGTGTAATTCATATTAATTGCGAGCGTGATCAATGTATTTGAAATAATTCAACGTTTATTAGTTAGACTCATGAATTGATATCAATGTTCGTAGCGGACAGACGTGATCTGGAAACAAAGTCAGACAGGGTAAATGTTTGTATAATGTTTGAAATAAAATTGTAATTGTAAGATTTATAATTTTATAATTCAATGTTTCAACATCTTTTCGAACAGTTTATATAAATAGTTTTATTAGTATTTTTTTTTAATATTCATAGATCATTTTGTTTCTTCAATCATAATTGCGTATAATAATGATTATGTCAGTGGTACATGCAAGTCCCATCTTACCACAACGATTTAGCCATTCACTGAAACCGTGCTCGTGCCGCTTGCGACGAACGTTATAGCGATCAACGATAGCGTGAATCGGCGAATCATTTCGTTGCTGACAACCTTTTTGGCGCACGTTGCATCCACGCGTGAAATGCACAATGTGTGTACGAATGCGTCGAAATGAGATTACGGAAACGCAAAGTAAATGTTCGATCGTAATCAACGATTCGTTATCTTACGTCGAGTGCATGCACGAAGTACGTGTTTTAATGAAAAATAAATGTGTCACTTGTATATCGTTTATTTAGAAGCCTCGAGTAAACAATGAAAATAACGTACCGGAATTACAAATCCACACGGGAATGTTCGATCGTAATCACCGAATAATGAACAACACATGGGCGTAAAACATTTAAGAACATTCAAATACAATATAATCTTTTATTTCTATGACCTGTTCAAATAACGTAACAAGTAGCGTTAACTGTTAATCAGCATTCGCTGCTTTAAAATTCTAACTCCTACAAAGATTGTAACCGTTCGTCTTTTTTTTCTTTCTTTCTCGAATACCTTGCACGCATCGAACTCTGATGTAGCAACATTAATACGACCTTTCCGAAAGCGTACGACAAATAATCAATCGATTACAAATTACCAAATAAACAATGGATGATATCGAATATTGTCGCGTACGCAAGAAGAACATTTATATAAAGAATAGAAATTGAAAGGCGCCAACATCATTCAAATATCGATGTCAAATATAACACAAATTGATATTCAGGGTGTCCTGAAAATGTCTCGGAATCCGGAAATGGGAGGTTCCTGAAGTCATTTGAAGTAACTTTTTTCTTAGCGAAAATTCAATCCGCGGCTTTGTTTACGAGTTATTAATGAAAAACATAGACCAATCGGAGAGCGAGTGCAGCCGGCGCTCCGCTCTTGCGACCAATGCCGGGTCGCGTCGGTCATCTGACGCAACGGCAGTTGAGGCGTGGCGTCAGCGAGGGCGGGGCGTCAGCCGTACGCGATCTCTCATTGGTCAGTGTTTTCCGTTAATAACTCGTAAACAACGCGGCGGATTACATTTTCGCCAAGGAAAAAGTTACTTCAAATTACCTCAGGAACCTCCGTTGCCGGATTACGAGACAATTTTGGGACGCTCTGTATACACGTTTCTCAACTGAATTTACGTCTGCTCGTTTCGTATGAATTAACTTCCGCGGAGATGCCGATTTCTTTGATCGAAATTGTTTGAACGATCGCTTCTAAGTAGGTTTACTGAGAATGTGCTCGCTATGTACTTGTAATGAGTGCTCTCTGTCTCTCTGTGGTAATAAATTTGGCTTGTGGCTTCTTCTTTTCTGTCCCTATCGGTGTAGCTATAGCATCTCTAAATGTGACATCGCGAACGGCGACATCGATCGATTTTCATACACCAGCGGCGCTACACACGGAAATCATTTCGAAAGCAATGAAAGGCACTATTCAGACGTTACATAGATACAGGTAGCGCCGATAACAATTAGAAAATGATATGGTATACGGTATAACATTTCCGCTGCCCGTATTTACAGTTACGTTGTTGTCGTTCGCGCGCGCGACCACGGATCCTGCTGTTCCCGTGATTGCGCCGGATCACCGACACTTTTTATATACGTGCTACTAGATTATCAATTATTAAAACACGTGATACTAAGTCAGCCGCACAGTGATTCGGACGGTGACTTGTTCAGGCTGAGACCCAGGATTCGTTTGGACCTTTCTGAAACTATCTTTGAAATCGCTTATGCCGCAAATTTTATGCATTCGTAACAAAGGCGAATAAATGGGGGCTATAGGAACATTAATGGTTCGAATTATCGAAAGAAGAAATATTTCTGTTCCCTTTTATTTCGCGCAAGGATCTGCAGCTTGTATCCGGTCGTATAATCGAAGCGACCAATACGTTTGTATCTCTGTTTCGCAGGAAATATCGAAGCTGAATGATATACGCCAGAAAAAGTCAGTTTCCAGAGCACTGTGCGCCGGTGCAACCTTTAAATAGTTGATTCTACGTGAAAATGTTCGATTCAAATTGCGGACTAGTCTTTGCTCCGAAGTTTCATAGGTTTAACAAGTTTATTAAACTGTTGGGAAATTATTATGCTATTGGAAACGGCACATCTCTGTACACTGGAAGACGCGCGACAAAGTTTCGAAGAAGATCGAAATGATTGGAGAGAAAGATTTGACGAATACAGGAGACTGTGAGCGTGTGAAACTGGCCTTTTACAACAACAACAACAAAATAAAAAAAAGGAAATGCGTTAATACCAATAAACAATATGAAAAATGAAATGTTTTGTAACAGAAACTGTGCGATGTCCGTTTCGTGTACACTAGACTGCGTAACTTAGGCGTACAATGGGAACAACGAAGCGTCTTACTTGAAAATTAACTTTTATTACTTCAAGATCGATTAAAAATTATGCTTACTTCGTATTAAACGCAATTCTATTCTACTTTGTTACACATTTCCACTCGCGTTCGAACGAGATGCCGAACACGAACAACAAAAAGAAAGGTTGCTTTAATCGGCCAACATATCTTTCACATAGAATTAACTGTTCTCCGGTCGTTCCGCTACTTCAACGACTCTTTGCCTCTCTATCCTACACGCTACCAATCAGATCGACGGTGAAACGTAAAAAAGAAACAAGGAAGAGCGCACAATGACGATCGAAGGAGTGTCTAATGTTACGTATTTAATATGATCTCTTCGAAAAAATTCGGAGCCCGAAGATTGCTCGTCTAGAATCCTCTAGTAGGTTCATGCTCGTTGTTAAGTTCTTAACTAGAATTCCGTTAGGTGTACGCTTTTCATTGCATACGAAAATACAAAAAAGATCCGGTAACCACATCGAAAGACGGGTGAAGAAGTGATGCCGCGCCCGATCAGCGTCGTGTGTAACTCATGAAGGTCTCGATTAGTTTCTGAACCAATTTTTATTTCAACCTGTAAATATCTGTTTCACATCAGTCGGTGCCGGACAGAAAATCAGATCATAGACAAACGTTCGTTCGTTGGAGAAACGATCACGTCCGTTTCCCGCTTGTGCAAGCAGCTCTCTCGTGGCATTTCGATCGATATCGGGCTCACGACGCCTTCATCTTAAACGGTTAAATCTCTCTTAATCTCTCGTTAAAGTTTTTCATTTTTTTCTTTTTCGTTTTTTTTTTTTTTGTTTAAGTACAATGCTGCCGTAAAGTACGTGACTCGGACATGCGCTACGGATACAATCGTTTATGATAATTGGTCCTGAAAAAATGATAGAACCAAACCTTGGTTGAGTACAGTGTGATCCATGCATGTAACGGCGCTTCTGAGGCGCCTCGAGACGAAGCCCGGATCCCGATCTCGATCGCCGTACGACGAGGATCTCGATCACGGGACCCGGATAGGGGAATGGAATGTGATATATATCTAAGAATCTGCGCTCTCTCTACGTGTTCTACATTTACACACCTCTACGCTATGCTCCTTATGTTAGTCGCGACGATCGATAATCCCATACATCAACGAACGCGTTCTTCGACGGAACGTTTACGGATCTGTGTACCGCTTTGCCGGCTGGAACCACGTTTATTGGTTGCATCGTGATACATCGAGCTACTTTAGGTGAACCGCTAATCATCATCATCATCATCATCATCATCATCATCATCATCCCGGAGACTACACCGCTACAGTTAAAGTTCGCTTTCTATCGGCGTTTCGTTAGTTTCATCTACGTAACGACATTCCGCGTCGCGTATATATATACACGTGTACAACCGCCGCCGCTCGAATGTACGTGGACGTTTTCTTGGTCGCAATTACCCGTTTATCAATTTTACTGAATCCCCTGCGTCGGGAGAGAGGTCACAGTCCTTCAGGACACCGCAGACTTTATATCGTTAATCGAATGAAATATTTCGCCAACAATGATGACAAGTTGTACGTTATTATTGTTGTAATATATTATAGCGTTATATTCGGTTAACATCGATGTACTCGTTAAACAAGAATTTGTGAATTCCTTAATGAGGTGCGTCAGACTCGCGAGAGGTTACAGTTGTCTCTACATACGTCTAAGCGAAAGGTGTACGCGACGCTGCGGCTTTACAAATCTGTATCGCCTAAAGAAAATGGATTGTAATGGAAGGTTACAGCTATACACGTTCGTTACGTACGTTTAGTGTTCGATAGATATCCGAGTATTTGTTCAGAAGCGATACAAGAGACCGTGCATGCGTGCGATACACATATTTAGCAAGTTCGCCGGCAAAGATGTACGCAGACGCGTTTCTATTTTATTCCGACTGGCTTATTTATACTCTTTCTGGACCAGATTCTCAATCATTTGCTATGCTATCGCGCCGTGCCTTCAAACGATCCCTTCCGCGCGGGTGGAGAAGCGACATGAATAGCTACGATAAAAAAAAACGAAACGGTGACGTTACGCCGACCGATGAACCGAACGCGATTGTTCGAATTTGAAGTCGCAACGCTCGACGCCGTTTGCGAAAGTAACTTCGGGAACGAACTCGCTCGTAGTTCCAAAACAGAAACGTCTATTGTTCCTTCGCAAGTACATTGTACAATCGAACGAATGGGGGGGAAATGATTTTAACGTGGGTGGTGCACGGTTGCTTCGCGCGTCCGAAGAGCCCATGTTCCTCGAAATGCAGACTATTGAACGATCGATCTTACAATTGGTCAACGAGATGCTCGCCACGTTGAATTTCATGAAACATCGGCTTATCCCTAGGTCTGAAGTCATCGGTAACAGTCCGTAATTCGTTCGGGTCTTTGTAAGTTTGTGTAACGCAACCAAATACATACGGCGCGCGATGATCGATTCGCGCGGAAACCTGGACTAAATCGATGTCTCTTTGATTAGATGTCTCTTAGGTTCGTTTTGCCGCGGGAACCTTGCTTTTTAACTAGGACAGAGAACACAGTATTGGAACTGAATCGTTGAAAACTCGATTTTACGCGTTCGGGACAACAATCGATAGGTCGGATGCAAAATTCTAGACAGTTGATGGATTCGAGGATACGCTTCTGTTATTCCAGAATTATTCAAACGATTGAAAGCGGGAAAACGTGACTTTTGTTTGTTTACGATCGACTCGACCAATTTTGATTCTGAATGAAAATCAAGTCCGCCGATCGGGGCTGAACTTGAAACCGAGCGTCTGCGTCGAGACTGGCAACAACATTTTTCGTCCACGTTTCCGAACGAACGGACCACCGTGCGAGGGACTCGGCCAACTCTGAGAATCTGAGAGCAATAGAAAAGAAAGAGTTCTCAGGTGAACGTGCAACATCTTGTTCTCTTCCACACGTACGTCACCCGCGGACGAGTGCAACGCGCGCAGGATCTCGCGGCCAGCGTTCGCTGTACGATGAAAAGCTAAAACGATAAGCATCGTTACGTTCTCGGCTAAACCTGGACCGTTCCCATTCGGATCGTTACTTTTTACAGGTAGATTTATCAGCTAACGGTGTTATCAGTAGTTACATCGTAAATATGATCGATTAGGTATAACTCGGTCGCGTGCAACATTTTTTTTCCTTTTCTTTTTCTCTGAACGCCGAGGGAGAAGTAAAACAAGACCGTTCGCCTGAAACAGTTTCACCTAACGCCTACGATGAGATTAAGTACGAATGAACAATACATAGGTAATAAGTACACACGGCTATCGAAGGGCCTGGTCGGCCCTTCGAGAAATGTTCGATGGCGGTGATATTTACAGAGTCTCTCTATGCGGTGATCGGTGAGATGTATGAATTTCAGGGGCGGGGGGGAGGGAAGGTAAACTGGAAAAAGCGTTAAGGCCCGTTTACATAGATTTCTTTTCATTCAATAACAATGCGTTTTCAAAGTGGTTGTATGCGTGTGGTATCGGCGTCGGTCGATTTTAAGATTGCCGGGAACGATTTTATCGGCCCGTCTTCGGCCGGAAGTTCTCCAGATTCCGAGGACGATCGATAAACGATCGAGTTTCCGTAATTCGGGGCACGCGTCGTGCGAAAAAGACGGTAATTCTTTTATTGTACTAACCGACCCGTTTCATCTGCCTTTTTCTTTCCCCTCAGTCGAATTCGAAGCTTCAAGATCAACGATGCAATAAAATACGATAAACTTGTTAGTAGCAGTCGAGCTCAGTTAATACTGTACGAAGTCAGTTTTGTTTTTTTCATTTTTCTAACAATCGATTCTTTATCATTTCTTCGAAGAATACATATAGTACAGTAATATATATATACGTGTATATATATAGATGTATGTATATATATGTATGTATATTCAATGCCATATACATGCATATATTGTATAATGCCTTGTAGATCTCGGGACGTTCGTGATTCTGTCAAACTGTAGCATAACACGTTTTCTTTCTCTAATCGTAACGTTTTGCTCGTCGATTCCCAGGATACATTGAGAATCACCGTCGCGATTCGTCGCTACTCTGATCTTACGGTGAATAATTACAAAGAGTTGCCGCCCTCCGATCTCGATGACTTCTCGATCTCTCGTCAGTTTGCTCGCATTACGAACAGTTCGCTTAATTACATTTGTTCGTTCGTATATTTTCTGTGACGAAGTGTACGCGATGCTTTTCAAGAATAAATTCGATCCGGGACCTCGAGCATACCACATTCAAGACCGGACACCTCGAAAAGCTTCTTCATTTTGAAAATATGAAAGAGAATTCGACCGTATTTGGAAGAAAAGTGTCGCGTATAGAAAATTTCTTTTCACATTATCATTCCTCTTAAATATCTCACAATTTGTCAATATTAATCATACGTTTCTTTGTCTTTCCTTTTTTAATTATACTACGTTAATGATGTTAATACCGATAATAACTCTTACCGTTTCTCTTATTAGTAACTTTTCGATAAACCGAACTACCAATCCTACCCGGAATAATAACTTTATCAACGCATTAAAAATCACGGAGACCGGAGGGTGTTACCTTTCCGCAAACAATCACCATATTTTATCCCTCCATCCTCATTTATATCCATTGTTGAAGAAGTAGGTCAACGGAACGATAATGCAAGTTGTACAATCGGTAGGCCCGTTATGTTTGGAAAACAGTAACAGTATCTGTATATATATATAACACGTGGTAAATATTTATATTGTATATATATACATATAATATACATATATGTATGTATACGAATATGTTTACAGTTTCACGTACCCGCGTATATATATGTATATATGTATATATATACTTGAAACGGAGGCGCGGCCTGAAGGGACAATCGAATGTTCGTAGATCGGTAGATCGTCTCGGCAGACACGTTCGATTTCTCTTGACGATCCCGCGCCGATAGTCTCAAGAGCTCTGCCGTCGAAACGTTCACGATTTTACTTATCGTTCGTCCTCGAGGATCGTTTCGCACGCAAACCGCCGCATGTGCGCCGATCGATCGCGACGATCCCGTCGAAGAGACATGTAAACTACGAAATAATGCTCGCGGGCACCGTCGCAGTCGATCGACGCAGTTATAACAAAAACTTGTGCGGTGTTTATCTACGAGCCGTGAACCGCGGACAGCGCGGCTTCGTTCCTTCGATTCGCGCGGGAGTTTCTTTCGTTTATTATTTCCTCCCCGAGCCAAAATGGTGTCTGCCGGCCCGTTTCGACCGACGGAGCTCCCTGTACAGGTAACGCATAGTCTAAAGTCATTTCCGTACGAAAATATCGCGATTCAAAGCATTGTCCTTTTGCTGGTTAACGAAGAGCGACCGCGAACGAACTGATGAGAACCGGTACGAAACGAAATTCGATCGGATACCGAGGATCACCGATCGCGAAAGCTTGGCGTTCGGTAAACGTAGGAATCGGGGAGCGTCTCGGCCGATCCGTGACGGAACGGATCCGTTCGTTTGTCGTATCGTCGTCGTCGTCTTCTAATTAAAACGGTAACAACACTCTGCACGAACACGACTATCGGCCTGTACAAATCGCGCCAACACAACTCCCGAACGAAACGGCACGGCTACTCCCACGCAGCTCAAGACACAATTCTACATCGTATACATTATATATCTATATACGTCTGAATATACTATATACACGTCGATATATATATATAGTATACGCATATGTATAAATATATAACTTCTATCGGCTAATAGCGATTAGTTTGTTTTCTTTTCTTTTTTATAATTATAAACACCTTATCAAAAAAAAAACGCGTTCTCCGGTTGAAAACGACGAAAAGGAAACGCACTACTTTTGGGACACTTACCCGGCGATCGTAAATGGAAGTCAGAGAAACACATGTTTTCTTGCAAATAATCAATGCTTCATCGAGATACCTCGAAGAGGACGCATGTTAGCTGTTTCTTCCTTGAATTCATTCCATATTACATCTACAGAGAAATATTATAGTAGATATACATACGTATATACAAGACGCTACACTTCATGAGAACATATTGTTAATACTAAAATCTTCTTGGTGGTATTTATTGTTTATTTAGTTAGTAATAGATTATTAATAACTACTAAGTGCCTATTTTCTTCTCTTTGTTCGTATTTACTCGCTTTCTCTCGCTCTCGCTCTCTCTCTCTCTCTCACACTCGTTCTCTCCCACCCTATCATTCGTACTTTCTCTCTCTCTCTTTCTCTCGCACTCTCTCTCTCTCTCTCTTTCTTGCTTGCGCTGTCTCTCGTTTTTTCGTGCATGATTACTTCTGTGAATAAACGACCATTTACTCGAAAAGATCGTTGCATCCTTTTTCTATTATTTTCTCTCTCCATTTTTTTGTTCTTTTAATGTTAGTTCCTCTCTTTCGTTTCTTTCTTATTTTTCTTGTTTTTGTGTTCAGGGTAATGCTGTTTCGTCCGGTACATCGTCCATGAGTATCGTTGGGAAATATATATTTATATAATATATATTTATATATATATATGTTTTTTTTGTATATATAGTTTGTCGAGGGGCGGGGGGACGGGGCTGGGCGAAAGCGAACGTAACGAAACGAAACGAAAAGAGTTGCTTCTGTACATTTGTCGTAACTGCTTAGAACCTTTGGTGTGCATTACCTTAACTGGACATTCTCAACGACCTTTTAGTCCTTCTTGTCGCCGTCTTCGGGGTCCTTAAGCGTATGCCATTGAGCAATAGGACGTCTGGGGCAAGCCAGCATGTCGGACCAGTGTCTCAACTCTGTTCCGCTCGCGTTGTACCCCAAGACGACCTTCCCAATGGGTTCTGAGGTGCCGATACGATCGTAGTCGACTACCGTGACAACCAATTCCACTTTCTAAACGCGAAATCGCGCATTAATATATTGTCCCACAGGAAAATATATCGCCATACCTTCCGGATTATAATGACTGAGAATAGCAGAGGTCGTCGAGCCGGACAGGCCAGAGATTCTGTCTGCTAATGCAGTTTCGTACTATCGTGGCATGTCTGACTCGATTGTCCAACGTATAAAAGTGAAAAGTACGTATCAAGCAATAGTAAGATTATTAAGGGATCTCTTGTTAGAATTTACAGTCGTAGATTAGGTAATTATTGCGAATGAGTACTCTGGGCAATATAAACTGTCACAGACAGTGACTTTTGCGAATATACAGATTATAAAATAAAAAGAATAGAAATAAAATCTGCGACGGAAGTGTACGAATTGTTCGTTCTATGTAGCAAGAAAAATAAATATGATTAATTTTACTTTGTCTCTCTGCATTAGAAAAATATAAAGTATAGTTTAGTTTGACTCTGTGTGTGTGTGTATAAGTTTGATTATAATTAACGTAAGAAATTCAGTATACAGTGTTCATGTTTCTTCAACTTGAGAGCCTTTAATGGATAGAGTTGCAATAAGCGTAGTAATGTAAGTGTTTTACCTTTCGTTGTTGTTTTTATCTTTCCATGGTTTGGATCCGAAATGTATGGTGTGACACAACAAAGAAGAATTTCATTTAACAATAAGCAAATCATTTTCTGATCTTCTTCGAAAACAATGTGGAGAATTCTGTTGTGTTTTGTTGAATGTCTTTTGATGTAGATTTAACTAAATATTTTATTTTTTGCTATTTCGATTAATTCTCTTGCTTTGAAAGATAAATTAAATTGTTCTCTGTTGTATTAGTGATCAGACTTACTGTATTCCTATGTACATGGTATTATAATATTATGAGAAAAAAGGCGCGGAAGCTTCAAAACTTTACAGTGAACTGCGCTAATTTGTATAGAAATAATAAAACTGTGTAAACTTAGGGAACATAACGTTAAATACATTTATAGAAGTTGAGAAGTATATTCGAAATACAAATGTTTAAACAAAATATTTTTGAATTACCTATATCTGAGTTTTTATCTAGGAAAGATACGTGAAATCGAAGCAAAATGTACGGTTTCTTAGATTCAGATAAAAATGCAATTAGTCAGCAGAAAGTAAGCGTAGCAATGAGTGCCTCTGCAAGCAGTAGATAATTAGATAATATATTGAAATTCGTTGATCATGTGAAAAGCGGCATTTCTCGAAGTATGCAAAAATTGTAGTTAGAACACTTGAAAAATGCATAATTTATTAGCTTACACGACTTCATAGAATAAATGCAGTACGGCTAAAAGTCTTATAATCCGGAAGTATGGTATTTTTAACAAAAAGTTTATTCGAATTTTCAACCCTTCATAAGGTAAAATACGATTAGCAATGCGGATATATACATAGCAATTTTTTAAATCAAACAAGCAGTTATATTTCTTGTAAACGGTAATTACAGAAATATTTTAACAACTCTATTATATTAGCGAAACAGTTCGTTATGGCAAAAATACTGTATCTTACGCGTACTACTGTTACCTCGTGAAGGGTTGATTAATAAATTACGTACGGTCCATCTGTATTTGCATATCGTACAAAAAGTACGATATTTTAAATAAATATCGTATAATAAATTTATATAATAATTTCTAACATTTCACTCTTACGATTAAATCAGTCTTTTAATTCAGTCTAACATTCGTAGTTTTCGTAATTGACTTTTCATCGACATACATCGACACAAGATGACCGTTCGTAACGAATCGTTAGAGAGAAAACTACATTTAAATACTTATTCTAGCAGGATACTGAACATAACAATAAATAAAATGATGGCAGTAGTTTCTGTCTATAGAATCAATAGAAATGAAACGTGCGTTGTCTAATAATTAATTGTTAGTAGAGGTGGTGAGAAGATAGTTTAGCATTATATGTTATGTTACTGTTACCTGTGTGTCGACTGACTGTGTCAAACAAAAATAAGAAAAAACGTGGGGGCAATAGATGAACGTTGAAGATTCGTACCTTTATCTGCTCGAAGGGTACCTCAAACGTAAATGATTCGTTGTAATACGGATTAAGTGTGCACTTCTTGATAGTCGTCTTCTTTTTCTTCAATCTCTTTCCGTTCTGCATCAGAGCAATTTTCACGTAAGGATCGGACAGACCGCCGACGTCCATTTTCTTCAGATTCTTTGCCTCCAAGATCACCACGGTCAATTTGCCAGCCGTGGGCACGTATCGGAGTGAGAAACAAATGTCACCCAATTTATTATCCTGTCGACAACAAAATTATATAGCATCGGTTAATACCTGCCGCAGCCCCTAATCGGGCCAATTTAAAATCAAGTAGATCGATTGCAAAATAATACGATAACGTTAGATTCCACGGTAAAAAAAAACATGTTCCAATTCTACGGCTTCGATCATAACTCATCGGAAATGCGTGTAATTGTGACATCGATTATCTGAAACTAATTTAGGTACTCTATAATCTTGCACTAATTCGATCTGAGCTCACACTATCGAAACTTAATTAATCTCCTATCTGCTTCCTCATAATTATATTCACCGTGCATTAATTTGATATACCTTGTACCAAAAATCAATAATTCGCTATATACGAGAGAATAGCGGATTCCAACGCAAACGAACAAGTTTTGCCGGCATAAAGGTGTTAAATGGTAATCTAATCATTCGGCATAACAAACTCGCGAGCGAGTTTCTGCCGCGCGTTGCGCTCGTTGAGATTTAATGTTTGATTCACCGCTAACCAACGAATTTACGTTTCAGCTATCAAAAGCGTTGCGTTTAGCGTCGTGAATCGTGAAAATCTGCACAATAGAATAAAACCCGACACGAACAAACGAGTTCTTCAACGACTAGCTCCGCGTTGTTGATGGTCGCAATTAGTGCGATTCAAATTGAAGCTGAATGGAGTGCATTAGCTAGGATGTGCGCAACGAATCGAGTGCAACAGATCTTTGAATAGTGATTCATTCCCGGTGAATTATGCTGTATAATTGAACAAATAGTAAAATTGTATTTATTTATATTTGTATTTATTCACCTGACCACCTTCGCCCTCCACGCTCTGCAATTCCCTCCACTCCTCGATTGTCTGGGCCAAGTCAACTTGGCAGAGGGGAACCTTCACTTCACCGATTTGGTCGTGTTTCGAGAACCTGTCGAAGTCGAAAATGGCAAACACAAGCGTCTTGTTCATAGCATCTGCGTATGGGACGCCCTAAAAAAAATTAACGCATCGTTAATCCCCGAGAGGGGTGAATCGTGAATTGTGTTTTAACACTAAACCGATCGAGCATTAAAAGTGACTGACACTGTATAAAAGTGACAAGACTAAGTGGACTTGATTTATCGCCATTTAGATTATAATACACGTTTGAATTAAAAAATATATTAAATCCTTTATAAGGTCAACAATATTAAAATATAGCACGTAAAAACGATCGTCTTTACTGGCGTGGTAGGTTTAACCAAAGAATTTAACGTTCACACTCTGCTCAGGGTGAAACACTCATTTTCTGCTTCTAGGTTTCTACCGCAAGATTTCCGATCTTTGTCCGGTTGCTTTATAAATTTCTTTAACATGCGATACCGTACACGAAGCGTAATTCACTGATTCGAAGCGTGAAGTAACAATCGATGAAGCATTATCGCAGGATCTTTCGTGAAACGATCACCGATGAAAGTTACCTTGAACGTGAAAGTTTCGTTGAAGATTGGACTAAGCGTTTTCCTGTGCACTTTTGTCTCGAACTTCTTCTTCTTGTCCGGCAACAAGTATACTTTCACGTATGGATCAGATGTGCCGCCCATGTCCAAGGCTGGCAGTTCTTCAGCTTGTATCACTGTCACCGCCAGGCTGTTTGTGTTGAAATCGTATTCAAGCTGCAATCATTCGAATAATTATTGCCGGAATAACCGAAGACGTTCGATCATTTTCTAGCGCTTTAATTTACGCTTTTACGCGGACATCTCGTCCGATCGACGACGTCCGATTCAACTTCGTCTATTTATTCTTTAGCGATAAAGTGCCTAGCACGTACTGGAAAGCAAGATATGAAAATGCAAAAATTCGACGGTGAACGTTCGATCGGAGTGTCAAATTTAGACACGAATCCGACGAGTTTAAGAATTCGACAGTTCTTTAATCTAATTTCGTAGCTACGTCCCAAGTTTGTTACCACGACAAAAATGGCTTTGCTCGGTGTGTCTTAAATGCGTTATAAATGTTGGATTTTTGTCAGAAGCAAGATCAAAATACTGAATCTTATTTCAAACGTGAACAGTTAAATGTGGGTGTTTGTTCGTTTACACTTCGGACTATCCAGAAGATGGTACAACATCGTGTCCGTAATGATCGGTATTTGTTTTGAAAGAAAGTTCAAGAAAAGGAAACTTTCTGAATGAACAAACTCGACTTTTCTCACAGCGGATCTCCATAAACTAGAAACTCTATTGCCATACCTTGTACTGAAGCTTCCCCAGTTTAACTTCGCTCTGTTTACTTTCAGCTTCGTCCGGTTCCTCCGCGTTGTCGGTGAGCTCTTCCATATCCGGCTGGACCTTAACAGATCGAAGTGGATTCCACGAGTGTAGAATGTGCGTCTAACATCTACATAATGTCATGGAACACCGAAAACGTACCTTGTCTTTGTACGTGGTGCCCAGCAGCTGCACGGACTTGAGATCCACCGCTCCCTTCAAACCTTTCTTGCCGTCCTTGGATCGTCTTTTGCGACAGCATCTTCTTATGCAGCAGAAGCAGATTCCGAGAACTAATACGCCTACGACTACTCAAGCGAAAAGAAAAAATTCGATCGAATTAAAATGGTGCGACTGAAAGAAGCCTGTTTGTGGTTCGCCTGATCAAAATGCTATCGCTAGACGCGCATCGGCATTTTGCATCTAGTAAGCGCGATTCATAAATGCGGTAACATTCGCTTCGAATTTTGCGTTTCGTTAGTCTATATGGTATATGAAATGTATAATTGTGACGTCTAGATGTAAATAATATGTGGGACACGGTCAATCAATTAACACGGTACAACTGGAACAGAGTAAGAGTTACATGGTTACTGTGCTCTGCCTGTGGAACAGAAGTCTGCAATGTCTGCGATGTTCTGAAAGTGTAAATTTTCGTTGTCGATTAGACGAGTAAACATGATCGACTCGCGAATGTTATAGTCGCTGAATTCTGTATCGTGTCTTTCCTTTGCGCCGGTACTGTTTCATCGTCGAGAAATATTTTCTATGAACGCACACGTTCGGATCCATTCGCATCGAACAGTTTTTCGTTATTTCGCAGCAACTGCTCTGATACGCGAGCGTACCGTCGCGCGTTTTAATGTCAAGAGCGACCGTGCGACTATTATTATTAAACTCCTTTGATCTTTCGAGATCGAAATTCGCGTGTTTCGAAAAATACACATGTCGAAGTTCACCGCGCATCGGCTTCCAAGAAACGTCTATCGAAAGTTCAAAGTTAAGCGACAAGATTTCAGCAGCGCCGCTAAGAATCAATGCCAATGAATCCCAATGTTGATTACGCCATTCCAAATTAGTTTCTTCGAGCTAATACAATTGATTACGTTCGAAAAGAATCGGAGTATTAAGTTTCATAAACGATGTAGCAATCTAGATGCTACTCTATTTGTTAATAGCTGTTTCTTTTTTTTTTATTTTAGGGAACAGTCGTGTATACCTATTAAAATGGTTACGAGGCCCCATGTTGGTATGCCCATTTCTTCCGCGAGCTCCTTCCCGAGATCCTCCACTTTGTTTTCGAAGGATTTCTCGGTGCTCTCGGTAATCACTTCGGCATCTGTGCCTGAAAGGTAATAAATCCGAATCAGACTAAAGTGTCTGCTAAGTTTAAAGTTATAAATCATTTATAACTTAAATCATTTCTTTACCTTCTTTCACTATTACTTCTGTATTCAGCATCGTTTTCAACGTCGATTCACCCCCTTCCGGAATTTCCGACACAATCTCCGTCATGGCCTCCGCATCTCTCTTAATGACAGGCATTTTCTGCATTGGAAAAAGAAATCAACGAAAAAATTTAGTAGGTTCGTAACGGCGAACGCTCGAACATGATAATATTCGAAGACGTTTTATGTTCGCAGGCTTTTCGGACCGCTTCGTCTCCTGTAATCGCCCCGAACAACACAGCAATACACCACTAAACTTCTGAATCGCTCGCATTAATTTCGTCGACCATTGTCACTTGTCACGCTATTGTTCCTCCGGTCTGTATACGCGCAGCCAGCGAACAGACGTTTCATTGTAAGATCGCTAACGCGACATCTCGAGCGTTGCGGACAGTGCGAAACGGATTAACAAACATTAACCGATTTGTGTTGCCACGAATGTATTTTGTGATTCAATCAGTTCGAGGCCCGTTGATTGTACACCGCGTTGCATCCGCGGTTTTGGCGATTCACTATTCACCTATTTTGCACTGTGACAACCGGCCAGACTCGCGATGAAGATTCACACATGATCTACTAAATACGAACATTATTCGTTTCTCCTGAATCGAAAGAAGATTTGATTCTTCTATTAAATATTTGAAAAAAATTATCACGGAGAATCTTCATCGCTCGTTTTCCTATACATTATGCGAAGAGAAACATGGCTTTGCGAGCAACAGTGAATCACTATTACTAATCTTGCGGTTTGAGGCAGTTAAGTTTCCTCCTACTTAAATTCCAACAATTAGGTTGATACGATATTCACTGATTTCAGCAAGACTTTCGATTCCGTAAATCACTCACTCTTGATTGGACTGTCAGCTCTGGGCTGCAAGGATAGTCTCCTGGCATGGTTTAGAAGATACCTAATCGACCGTTTTCAAATTATACGAGTTCGTGATCTCAAATTTTCTCCCATGCGTGTCCTATCCAGAGCCTCGCAAAAGCTCGGTCCTTTATTGTTTATTATTTTCATCAATGATTTATCTAAAGTTTTTCGATTCTGAGAAGTCCAGTTTCATGCTGACAACGTAAAAATTATCCATAGTATCTCCTCACTTGAAGGTGCTCTCGGCATTCAGGCTGACCTGGCCCGATTTCACGAACGGTCTCGAAATAATGCCGTGTAACTTAATACAGTAAATTCTCCGTAATTGACTCTCAGCTTGTAAAAAAAAATTGGACAATTTGTTAAGAGGAGCTACGATTATTCAAGCTCGATTTTATAGTTGCCGATTTTCAACAACTATAAAAACGAGGCGTATAGCTCGAATAATTCCCTTCCCAAGTCCATTTTTGTTTCCAAGCCGAGGGTCAATTAGGGAGAATTTACTGTATCTGCATGTATGTCACGTCACGAGATCCTTAAAATCTTAATCCAATCGTTAAGAAGATTATTAAGGATGAAGAAGGGTTAATCAACGTGATTATAAAAGAAAAGTTAAATTAGAAACCCCTAAAAAATACTTAAAATTCGAGATAACTTAATGAAACTGGAAAGATGAATTTTGTCATACTAATTGGTCAATTAACGTTTCCGCGGAACCAGATAAAATCTGGTTTACACTTCGCCGTCGAATTTCTCGCGAGTAGTGTTTGTCGCCTAACAAGCTTAATCAAATTCACGTGCAACTAACAACGCTTAGAGCCGAAGGACTCGGGGTTCACCAGGGGAAAGTTTTATTTCCTCGGAGGAAAACTTTCTCTCGTCGATGCGCGCACCTCGTGCGGCGGTGCTCGAGCATAGGTAATAAAGTTGACAATTGCCGGAGCCTGGATACGCGCGCGTTATTTTCGTCGCATTACCGTCACATTTACCTCGCGTTCTCTTTATCGTTTCCGTTATTCCGCGGTCCGCTGTAACCGTTGCTGATCAATGTCGTTACTGCTGCGGAGTCACTGATTGTTTACAATCAACACCGTATTGTAAAGAACGGTATGGTTATTTTTTCTCAATCTGGCAACGTCATAACGTTGTTTACGCGTCGGCGAACGTATCGAATCGTATTGTTCCGAAAAAGAAACGCGAAACGCGACGTTTGAACGAGCACTGGAGAAACATTGTGCAATCAAGAGCATGTTTCCGGATTCATAGATTACGTTCGCATGCATATCATAGCGATTGCAAGTTGCAGCAACTCGTGCACGATTTAAATAGTCGCTATAGTCGGAGCATGATCACCGCGATATCTGGTAAAATAGGAGTACGGAGAGTTAAAAAATTGTCCAGTAATTCTGCAAATACGATTTCAAAAAAATTGCGAGAAATGAAAGGACACGAGGAGCGTCGCGCGAAAGTATCACAAAGAAAAAAAGAACGAACAGCGAAAAGAAGACATGGTGCGCTTTAGCAATAATAATTGTATCGGTCGTTCCTTTCATAAAATAATGCTACAGGTTCTCCTAAATAATACAACGGCATACTGAAATGCATAATCATAGCGCGATAAAATCTTTGAACTTTAACGCATTGCTCGCAATATTCTTGAACGGTGATTTCATTCGAACGAGTTTCTTTCCATTCGTTCACCGGAGTGGTTCAGCAAGAGAACAATGACCAGACCGTCGCCGTGGTTTTTTTTCAGCAATTTTATCTATTGCGATGAGCTCCCTCTCGGCCGAATAGGTTTAACTTATAATTAGTTGAAAAATCGATGTCGACGCTGATAAAACGAGGCACTCCAGAATCCAGAGCCGACTTAAACGCATTTCCCCAGGCGATCGTTATCTCTTATAATTTAATATCACCTTTCAACGTAAAAGCTGCTTTCGCATATACGCGGCGCCCGTGCTTCAGATTCAATAACTGTGGTATTAAGATCGTGTCTAGATAATTATTAATGGAAAATCTAGTTTCACGCTTTGATGGAAGTGATCACAATAGCGAAGCGAGTAGAAAGTGGAAAGAACGAACCGACCCTGCAATCGTACAAGATCGTTTCTGTAAAATAACCTGCAATTAAAACCAGCGTGCAATTGAACGAAGAGTTAGCCGCATCTCGATTGCGAGCGGTTCAAGTTTAATAATCCACTATATACTTAATAATGGGAAGAAGTAATTTTGACGAAGAAGAGCTTTTTCATTCAGCATGCTTCGATACTAAGCGATACCAATTTTTCCTACGGTAATATCAGCTATGGGAAATTCTGTTTTCACGTGTTTTCTGCCTTAGAACGTGGTCGTACGCGGTCTGTGCTCGCGAACAGGCAGAATTCATGTACCAACTCATGTTCGCCAAGTTCGCTGCAAGTCGCCCGTTACTCGCAAAAGTGGCCACATCGCGAGTGAACGGAGTTCGCGATTAGTTCGCGAACTGCTCGCGAACACCAATGTCGATCCGTCATATAACGTAACGTAGGTCTAATTAATAGGTGGCTGGCAGAGAATAAGACAGATATGTGTTTCGTCAATCGAACACGCGATCATAGAATCTTCTCTATTGTTGTCTATAACAAGGCGTTCAGCAACAGGTGGGAGAAAGTTTAAGGGATAATTTTCCATAACAATGTAAGACGTGAATCACGAGTGGGAAACTACTGCTGCATTCTCGCGATTAAAATTGCAGTCCGATACCGACGAGGAAACGTACTTTTATACTTTGTAGTCTGCGAACAGAATTTTCCTGCGATCTACTGCATTTTCATTTTAATTGGGCGTTCGGCGGATCGTAAACTTTTGCAGTGGATTCGAGAAAGCGCAATAAAGTCAAGGCAATTACGAAAGAAACGTGTGTGAGCTTCTAATTAATTTAAGAGACAGAATTAATGCAGGAAATTAAATTATCTCTGCAGAATGTTGTTCTAAAGTTTCATCGATTTTAAATATCGAATTCTATATAATGACTAAGATGTGATTATAAAATGTCGATAGAAATGCTTCCAATTGGTTTAAAAGACAAAAATAAATGAAGAAATTCGATTATTTGTGTCGAGTATTATTATAAACTTTCGTCGAGCGTCACATTTTTTGAAATCGCTGAGATGTGATTACAAAATGACGATACAAAAATACTGAAACAACAGAACAGTGAAAGCGAAATGATAAAAAAAGAAACGCTTTATCAAGTTATGATTAAGTGAATGATTACAGTGTAGAGTACTTTGATGCATCATGGCATTGAAATTCCTTGCATCCATCAAAGGCGAGGTTGGAGACAAATTAATCTACGTTGTGTACACGCTGCAGACATTCGATTAGAAAATAATTGCAGTGTTCAATGAAATTTAGTGGAATCTGTGCTCGATTATCTTGAAGCACTGAATGAATCTGCATAGAATCTGACCTTAACTTGGATATCCCGTGTAATCGCGAAGAAATGTCTAGTCAAAGCTTAAATCGATACAGCCGTGCACTTATAGATATTGTCCAATGATATTAACCATAGTATCTCGGTCTCTCAGTCTATAGTGCCCTACGCGTTTCTCCAGACGCGACTAAAACACTTCGCAAATCCTATTCGAGACGTTTCTTTTTATAATGTGAGACAGCTCGCTTAAAAATAATCTTTGCTACACGGCTCAATACTGTCCATTATTTCAGCTCGCTGTATCTTCCTCGACATGGCTATTCTCATTTTAAGACAAAGAAATTAGTCGGACAATTGACTCGAAGAAATTGTTGTATCATGTTATCATGGTTTTTTTTGTCAATTTTTCAGTACTTATCTAATCGTTTATGTTATACTATAACATGAAATAAATACTAGAAAATAATAGATTATTATATAATAGGAAAATAATGATTGTATCAGAATTCATCGTGCGATCACAAAAGTAATTAAAAGCATACGTTAGAAAATGTACGTTAATTCTCATCGTTAACTATACATAGTTACGTAGTAAACACGTTAATTATCGTTGTTTTCTTCTAAATATCAGTAAACAGATCGGAACGATATCGTAAATCGGGTTTAATGAAAAAATTATAAGGTCAAGCCACCGTATTTCCGGTTAATGGTCACTCCATACCTGTACCTCATACTTAAAGGGTTATAGCTTTAAATAAACAGATGAAGTTACTTCAGACTAATTCCATGTATCGCGTGTAGACATACCATAAACTATGTACAGACTCGTTACATGTGCTAATTGTCATCGAGATTACAACGCAGTGTAAACATTTTTACTGCTGAAAGCAAGAACGATTTAACTTGCTAAACCATTCGACGTGATGTTTACTGCGCTAAGAGTGAATACATAATTGTTTGCAACACTGAATAAACTGAATGATGAATTAATCGAATTGATCAAAAGTATTTGAATTGACATTAACAATTGCAATTTCGTCAAGCGAACTCACGTTTCGTTGAAAATATTAGAAGTATCCGTTAGTAGATTATCGCTCATTTTTATTTTTTTTTATTAAACAAGATAATGGAAAATTGAATCAAGAGCTATTTTTGGGGAGGAATAAAATCGTACGGGCGGAGGGTTATTTTAATTTTGACCTCCTTCGCCTGCTGCGAATAGAATGTGACATTTTACGCCAATTTTTAAAATCTATCACTCAACATAAATTTTAAAATAATACGTTGTAATAAAGTTATTTATCTCTACCTCCATTTCGATCTCCATCTAATATACACATTTTATGCATGAGATGTTCTATAAAAATTGTCCTCATTGAATATAAGAAATAATGCAATCGAGTTTATTAAAACTTGGCGTAATTAAATACGCGATCCGATTTTGAAATACTTTTCTCGTCTCTTTTAAATCAATTTCTGCTAAATAAACGGCACACCGACGTGCACAGTACGAAAGTAAGAATGTGTTATTCGCAACATTAAATCTGATTGAAGTAATTAATAATTAACCGCGTAATTCTTAGCAGTGCCAACAGTTACGGCAACTCGTGCGAGAAAAATAAATGTCCGCAATATTAATCTGTTTGGACATCATGAATAACGCAAAGATATCGAAGGATTCTCCATCGGGGACCGTTAATTACATTCATAACCGAGCATCATTCTAACTAATTTACATCGCCGGTTGCTTCGATTCTTTCAGATAATGGTCATTTCTCTATCGACTGACCTCGATATCGTCAAAGCCGTTCTTGGCATGATGACTGGTCAGAGTACGCAAAGCCTTTCGAATAAATGGTCCCTTTGTCGTACTCACCAATTTATGTTTATAATGCTCGAGCCGTACAATTCCTTGTACTGCTTACTCTCCTTGTGCTTGTATCAATCCTTTAACACAGACTTTACATGGATAACGTATTCAGGAATTAAGACAATGTATGTAGAAGTAAAATAGCATGTACCAAAATGATATTTGCCCAAAGAAGTCGACAGAGAGATGAAATTTCGAAATGTACCTTGAATAGAGCGGAGATCGGTAAAGCTTAAAAACACTGTGTTTTTAAAATCATTGAACAAACGAAGATGTTATATCTAGGTGAACTGCTGCATAAATATTACCATGCAAATATTATAATCCATAAGGAACGAAAATTGTTGTAAATAACGTGAACGTGTAATTCAAACATCCGCGCCTGTGATCTAAATACCAACACATCTCGATCCTCTTAAACATTCGCTGTACGATTGAACAATAAACCGAATGTTTAAAGGCGGCGACGACAGAACCAACAGAACCAAGGGGAACTACAAACATGGCAAGAGTACAACGTGAACGCGTACGTAGATGAATACTCTCGCTCGCCGCCCACGTATCTAAAATAAAACAGGATTCTGGATGTTTAAACGCGGAGTACTGTCACACGGAAGACAATAACGCAGGGAAATCGTTAACTGAAAGATTAAACTCTCGTTGAAACAATGGGCATCCTCCAGCACGGGAATAAACTTGAAAATATAACTCACCGGAGACAGTCGAGGATAAAATAATGGGGAAAGCTCCGACGTCGATAAACAAACGATCAAATTCGCTGATCGGAGGTCGGTGGGATATCTATCGGGAATAGAGAATGCGAATTGGGCATTTTCGGCGAGAAAACTTGCCGTGCGGTTTCGTTCGATCGTGAATAGCACTCGCAGACGAAAAGCGTGTCAGTAAATTCAGCGGAGAGATAAGAAAAGAGGGTTAGCCTGGTGAAAAGAATATTCCATCGGCATCTATTCGGGGGAGTATTCGGGGGGACATAAGCGGGCCAGTATCGCCGCGGACCCCGAAGAAAATCGGGATCATAATATTTCACGCAGAGAACGCCGGGAAGGGATCGATTGACTGGCACACGTTTCGGGAGACATGTTTCGGACGGCTTTGGTCAATCGAGCTACTGCAACGATAAGAGAAACCGAATTAGAGCGACTCGGTGGATCAACGTTCCGCAAACAAACCGTCTGTTCGACTAGCCGCGGCACAAACGAAAAAGAAACGGAGGCGCAAACGCTGCCCGTAACAAAGAAAACCGTCCCGCAGGGTTCAAAGGGAAAACGTTCCCGTTTCGCACGATTGACGACCCGCGAAGATCTCGGCAAGTTTCCGACTAATTTGCGGCTGAATGAAGGGAGATGCCGAAGGGGGAGAAACTTGCCTCGGAACGCGCTGGCAAATGTCATAGAACGAGCTGCCGTTATATGCCATCCGTGCGAGACAGCGGGACGACGAGATCGAAGAAGGGATAAAATTTCGTCGTAGCCCAAAAGCGCGAGGCTATATAGAAAGCAAGAAGGTCAGCGGCGGAAACCGAACACGAATGTTTCCCACGGAATTCCCGAAAAGCGAATTCCATTCGCGCTCGTAACGATAAACCGCGTAAACGGCGCACAGGTTCGACGGTGGTAGGATAACGACGAATCTTCTTAAGAGGGCTTAGGAAACCGTAGAAGCTGGCTACGGATAGGAATTCGTACGTTGGCTGGCACGAAAAACGAAACGAACGTGCAGTTCGACGTGGAAATCGGGGGGCGGATTGCGTCAAGTTCGAAAAGAGAAAGTTTAGGGTGCCAGGCGAAAGGGTTACGCGGCGGTGGAAACGTTTACTCACGGTGGTTGTTAGTCGGCTGCCTGCTCAAGAAACGGGGGTTGATTCCTCTCCTGGCTGGTTCCTCGCCGAGCTGGCGTTAGGCGAGCCGAGTCGATGCGAAAAACGGATAGAACGGTCGCTGCTCGAGGTAGGGAAAACACGGGCGGTCGCGTTTTACAAGCGCATCGTTATACGCCCTGCGACATCGACGACGACGTAGACGGTGGAAAATCTATCGGTGGCACGGTCTCTCGAGGTGGGACACGAGTGCGCCTGACCGCTGGCGGACACGAACATGGCCGATCCGACGAAATCGATAAAACACGTTACATTTTCCGCCGTTTCGACGGAGCCGACGCTCTGCGCCGTCAACCCCCTTTGTGCGGCGGGCCGACGCGTGCGCCGCCGGCACCACCGACGCCGGAGATCAACGTTGCCACCGACGTCACACTCGACCGCGGACGTTCCATGAAACTTACCCTTCGACACCGGGATCCCACTCTCGCCGCGAGATCTTCTCGAGACCGAATGTGTCCCGATCGATTCAGGAAACCATACTGATTACCCACAGCCTGCCCGTTTTTCGAAACCCGGTTCAACCCCGACGGCAGCACGGTTTTTTCGCCAACGTGGCCGGCTTTCAGCGACTTGCGACGCCCGCCACGGTCTTTTGTTGTTTTGCGCTCACGGGGAAGGTCTGAAGAAATTTTCAGGTTGTTATTTGGGCCCTTGAGTTGTTTCACGAGTGATGGTTCAGGCGATTTGGATCATTTTCTAAGGGGATGAAAGTTTGGGGAGGGATTGTGAGACACAGTGGGGATTCAGAGGCATACCCTTGTTAGTTTGAGAAGCTGCAGTGAGTTCATTATTGTTCGGTATAACTGAAATGATCTATGATAATGGAAACTGTAAATGCTCATTTTAGCAAGTAGGTAAAGAGAGCTTAGGCGAATGTTTCGATCTTTTTGCAACAGAAATGTAGGTTTGACGGAGGGTTGTACTTTGTACTTGTATCTTAGTACTGTTTTCAGAATTTGCGAGATTTTTCAGTGGGTTCCTCATTAACATTGAAAATGATTTAGGAAATGGAAATTGAGATAATTTGGCGCAGTTGTAAAAACGTTTTCCAACGTAATGCATTTCCAACTTGCACAGTACTGCTCTGTGCAGCTTATCATTATTAAACAATGATTAACACGAAGAAGACACCTAATGTGTGAATGCTTTTCAATCTTAATAAACTCTTTATGTAGACGTAAAAGCATCCTTCGTACGTGCCTCACAACACCATAAGGACCGGCGACGTTGCCGTGACGTCATATGATTTCAAGCAAGATTATTATACATATATACACAGCTGTGTCTGACAAAAATATTTGATGCATCTGCCTTGTTATTTTTCACGGAATTTCAAATACTCATAGTTCCATCGTGCATGGTAAAAATTCTACTTTGAGAACTCTTAATGGAAATGTTCATTTTCCGCTAATGATTTTTATATATTTGAAGTGATGTATCGATAATTTTAAATTCTCGTCGAAAATGCACAAAATCCGTAATATAATAATCACATATTAGTAAAATGCTTTTAATTTTTCGCGTCTCTCTTATGTAAGAAGAAACCTTTCCGCGAAGTTCTAATTAAAGAATTCTATCTAATTAAAAACTCCTTTATACGGTGTTCTTAGAATGAAGCAAATGATTTCGGAGACTAAGGAAACCCTTTTCTGAAACCTTGGCCTTGCGGCGTGCCTGGTAAAAGTTCTACCTTTCAGGGTAGAACTTTCCCTCGGCTAAGTGCGTTCCGCATGTGGCTGAGCTTGAACGTAGTTGATCAAATTGACGATTACCACAACCTCGATTCGGTCGCGAAGGACAACGTGGACGTTAACTATTACGGCGCAAATTGCTTGACCAGATGCGAAACTACGGCGTAATTAGTGAACCAACTTTCGGTGGTCATGCGCGGAAATAAGTTGTGTTCTGTGAATGTAGTCACGTCTTGTGACTTCCGGTTGTACGTTATGTTTTTTTGTTTTTTTTTTAATTGAGATGAGAAGATGCGATTCACTTATGTAAAGTTTGATTGTCAAGTCTAGTTTGTTTCATACAATTTTAAACTCCGTCTGTACAGAGTATTTATTTCTCTTATTCTTATGGTGATTATTAGAGGGAAGGATTTTTATGCAAACTCTATCTGATTTGCGATAAACAGGAGTTTTAAACAAGAATTTAAAAAAAATGATCTGGTATTCGAGTACTGCACAAGTAAAAATGTTTAAGACAACGGAGTTAGTGAGAAAAATGGTAATCGATTCGCAGAAATTAGAAATAACGCCATGATGCCTTATGCTGGAGAGTATGTCGCTTATCGACCAAATATTGACTTCTAGAACTTTAGTGAACACGTTGGCGGCAGTAACGCTAACAAGCACTTTGGGATCATTATCCAAAGAGCAATAATCGACTCCGAGTGAGGTCCACTCCTTACTTTTGTAAAAGTAGATCAGTCTTATCATACTTTGAAATTTTGTTATCCAAGGGAATAAGGAAGGTCGTACAGTGAAATGGAAAATACAGATACTACAAGCGAGGAAACTATACATTTAAAAAATGAAGAATCGTCAATATTTTTGTATGACAAAGCTTTAAGAACACCGATACGAAAAAGTTTTCTTAAAGCTTTCGATATACCCAATGAATCTGTCGATCCCGTAATTCTTGATACATCATTACCTTACGTAAGTAATTGACCACAACGTGGTATTCTATTGTTTATTCTTACAAATTGATTAATATGAAAGGTGATATGTAGTTTGATGATACGAGCGACAAAAAATAAATCGAAAATGTAGAATAATATTTTTTTGTCCGACGCTTAATTTTCGAGAAACTTGAATTTGAAAACGCAAAATGAACAGGAGCCGGCTGATGCGTCTGATTATGGCAGGTCGGTTCTACTTCTTGTAAATAGTATGCCAGGTGCCCCACCTAGATTGAATATCTTGAATATGTATGTATATCGCTTACTATCGACAATAGAGAAAGATGTCACAGGAGATTCTTAAATGAGATTATATATTTTAGTATCGCCACTCTATTGTGACTACATTGAGTATAAAAATAATTAAGAAATTAGTAGGATAAGAAAATGAATTATGAATATTTATTTCAATATCAAATATTCGAAAAGATATATTATTTTTAGATTCCTATTTACACTCATTTAAAAACTTATAATTTAAAACCCATCGAGAGACCCAAAACTCCACCCATGCTGTCTATGTTACGATCAAAAGCACTGTAAGTATTACTTGAATATTTTAATGATGTGAAATTAAATTTTCATAGTTAATTATAACAATTTTGTTATTATATTCTGCAATAGTGATCGAAATGATGATGAATTATATTCACCTTCGGAAATACCACCCTCAACAGAACAAGTCAGTAGAAAAGGAAGTTTCAGTACATTGATGTCAAAGGAACATGGGAAAACTTCAAAAATGGAATAAAAAATCTCGATGAAATACTAGCATGAAATAAATAATTTTTATATCATTCCTATATGCGTCTTTAATAATTCAAAAATGATTTCGTAGAATTATCCCTTTGCGGACGAATATTTTTTAAAACATTAAAAACACATTCCTAAGAAGACTAGATCATGTATTAAAATTGTAAATAATAAAATAAAAAAAAATATGTACTGATGTTCCGATATTTAAATAGGATGGTCATCAGATGGTAAAAAGTCTATAAAACAAATATACGTAATTATGAGAAATAATTAAATTTAGATGCATAACTTGCATTATTAATTTCTTATTGTTTATAGATTATATGTATATCATAATCAAAGATTGCATTAAAGTTTTGCATTTTGAAATTAGTCTTACCCCTATCAATACATTCTTCTTGTCATTTTCTAAACTAATCTTATCTTCACGTTTGACAACACACTTTCATTTTGTTATAAAATAAAAATATACCCTTTCGCAAAGCAAGAAATAAGTGGAAAATATTGAAATAATTACTAATAAAAAACTATGCGCAACTTTTAAATCATTTGTATACTACTCTTGGTAGTTTACACTCTGTGGTTTCATAGCACAAGTAATGTATGTACAGAAATATGTACTTATGTATACTGCATATGTATATGTATGTATGTTCTGTGACCGTGATGAAATGTATGGTGTAGTAGGAGCAAGTAGGAGATTCTTACGCATAGGTTATATTTAAAGTATTTATCTTTCAAATCAATGTCGATTTTCTACAGTTAATCGCAACAATATTCATCACTGCAATAGGCGCAGTTACAGTATGCAACAATGAAAAAACTCAACGAATTATTCACAGTTTACTTCTTATTACAATATTTGTATGGTGTTTGTACGACGCACTTGCTCATAAATGTAAAAAATCAGGTACGTATTTGTTAATTTTTCTTAATTTTAATCATGTCCCCGATCATTAAAGATTGTGTCTGTTTTATAAAGTTTGACATAGGTTAAATTAACATAGTCCAATGCTAAGACAACTTGTTTTAACCTCAAAGTCAGTGAACTCTGTAACAAAATGAGTAACAGAAATCTGTAATAACAATCAAATTTTTATTTTACAGGGTGGTGATATTCTATTAGAGACTATTTCATCAAATGTAACAGAAGATGTAATCACATTAGAATTTCAATGCTCGGATGGTACTTTGGTAACACAGCTTATCGACTTCAAAAATGTAACTAACTGAAAACTAAATGTTATACATTGCTGTATACTACCGATCATATACTAATCACTAAAATCTTCCCACAGGAAGTACAAATTATAAAAGCCTTGGTTTTGGGTGAAGAGGAACGTGGTCAAAATCAATATCAAGTTTTATGCTTTGTAAACCACTTCTTCAAAGTGGATTTTATATCGTCTGATGCTATGTCTAAATTAAGACAGAAAAATCCTGGAACTGTTCGCATAGCAGAAGAAGATAAAGGTCATGTGAATTATACCATGGACCTATTTTTGGATGTATCTGAATCGAAAGATATTTCTAAACACATTGCCACTCTTTGTGGAGAAGCAGCNAGTGAAATTAAATTTTCATAGTTAATTATAACAATTTTGTTATTATATTCTGCAATAGTGATCGAAATGATGATGAATTATATTCACCTTCGGAAATACCACCCTCAACAGAACAAGTCAGTAGAAAAGGAAGTTTCAGTACATTGATGTCAAAGGAACATGGGAAAACTTCAAAAATGGAATAAAAAATCTCGATGAAATACTAGCATGAAATAAATAATTTTTATATCATTCCTATATGCGTCTTTAATAATTCAAAAATGATTTCGTAGAATTATCCCTTTGCGGACGAATATTTTTTAAAACATTAAAAACACATTCCTAAGAAGACTAGATCATGTATTAAAATTGTAAATAATAAAATAAAAAAAAATATGTACTGATGTTCCGAT